GACTCTGGTCCTGCGAGGGGTACTGAGTCTGGGGGTGCTGCGACTGGGGGTGCTGAGCCTGGGGGTGCTAAGACTGGGGGTGCTGAGACTGGGGGTGCTAAGCCTGGGGGTGCTAAGCCTGGGGGTGCTGAGCCTAGGGGAGCTGAGCCTGACCGTCCTGCGCCTGGTGACGCTCCCTCTTCACATCAGCTGCATGAGTGGTACTCTCAGCGTTACAGCCTCCAACATGGGGGTGCTGGAGCTGGGGGTTCTGCCGGAGTTGGAGCTGGAGATGCTGCGGGTGCTGGGTCGCAGCCGTCGCCTCCCTCCCCACAACGACTGCGTGAGTGGTATGCTTGGCGCTGCATCCTCCGGAGCGGCGCTTCTGGCACTGGGGTGCCGCCCGCTGGAGGCCCTGGTGCTGCTGGAGGTACTGGAGCTGCTAGGACTGGGGGTTATGCTGGAGCTGGTGCTACCGGAGGTGCTGCTGGTGCTGGAGTAGGAGCTGCAAGTGTTGGAGCTGCTTGAGCTGCCGGTGGAGCTGAGGACGCCGGGCCTACTGGAGTTGGTGTCGCTGACGATTCTGGGGTTGGTCATGCAGGTGCTGGAGCCGACGGTGCGGCTGGAGCTGGCGCTACTTGGGGTACTGGAGTTGGCACTACTGGAGCTGCTCGTAGTATTGATGGAGTTGGAGCTGCTACTGGGGGTTCTAGTGCGGTCTCTGCTGGTTCTGGTGCGGTATCTATTGGTTCTGAGGGCGCTTCACGACCGCGGCCGTACTTCGTTCCGCTCCTTCAGCAGGTTCTTGGTCAGCCTCCTCCTCCTTGTCCTGCTCCCTCCTTAGAGTGTCCTCCGCCTGTCCAGTCGCAGGCACAGTTACAGCCCGCCTCGTCGCTTCCTAGTCCTTCTCCCTATATTGGTCCGACAGGAGGTCTTACGGAGCGTCGTGAGCCGGAGTCTCGTCCTCTGTCGCCTGAGTCTCGTTCTGCGTCACCTCTTCGTGCTGCTTGCACTGGTCGTAGTGTCCCACGTTCGTGTCCTCCTGCTGTCCCAAGCACTCACCAGATGACGCTTCGTCTTTCCACTGCTCCACAACGAGTCCCTCTGCCTTCTCCTCCTGCGTCCTCTCTTCCTGCCCTTGCTGACCCGGAGTCTGACTCTCTTCGTGCTGCTAGTCCTATTGTCAGGCGTCTCCTGGCCACGGCTGTTAATGACCCTTCCTTTGAGTCTGCTGCTGCGTCTGCCCTAGTTGTTGAGCTTGTCGACTTTGCTGCTCGCTGTCGTCTAGACTACGCCGCGAGTCTTGTCGCTGAGTCTGAGCCTGTCTGTCCTCCGTCCGTCGGGGGTGAGTGTGCTCTAGGCACGGACGTCCTTGAGGACAGGCAGGAGGACTTTGAGTGCTTTGCCGCTGCTGTACCTCATCTCGTGTGAATGCTGATTGCACTTGAGGGAGACTCGGATGCACCAGACATTCCGACCCCGCGCTCTTACGCTGAGGCGATTGCGGGTGAGTACTCCTCTCAGTGGCAGTCAGCCATGGACGCAGAGGTGGCATCCTGGAAGTCCACTGGCACGTCGATATGGTTCCCCCTCCTGGGGCGAACATCGTCAGTGGCATGTGGAATTTCAGGGTGAAGCGGCCGCCAAATTCTCCGCCTGTTTTCAAGGCTCGTTACGTTGCTCGAGGCTTCAGTCAGCGAGAGGGAGTAGACTTCTTCCAGACCTTCTCCCCCATCCCAAAAATGACCACTCTTCGAGTGCTACTGCACGTTGCCGCTCAGCGTGACTACGAGCTTCACTCTCTTGACTTCAGCACAGCTTTCTTGCAGGGCAGCCTCCATGAGGAGATCTGGCTGCGCCGCCCTCCTGGCTTCACTGGGTCGTTTTCTCCTGGTACCCAGTGGAGCCTCTGGCGGCTGGTCTACGGTCTCCGCCAGGCGCCACGTGAGTGGCACGACACACTGAGGACTAGCGGCTCTTGGGTTCGCGCCTTCTACTGTTGACCAGTCGCTGTTTCTGCGCACCGACATATCGCTGCCGCCATTCTACATCCTCGTGTACGTCGACGACTTGGTCTTTGCCACTACTGACACTGAGGCTCTCGCCCACGTGAAGTCGTAGATGCAGAAGAGACACACGTGCACAGACCTGGGTGAACTGCGCAGCTACCTTGGCTTGCAGATCACCCGGGACAGAGCACGCCGCACCATCACACTGACTCAGTCACACATGGTGCAGCAGGTCCTTCAGCGCTTCGGCTTTACCTGGTCCTTGGCACAAGCGACTCCTCTGGCTACAGGTCACTCGCTCTCAGCTCTGCCTTTGGATGAGTCCGTAGAGCTGAGTGGTTCTTACCAAGAGCTAGTTGGCTGCCTCATGAGTGGGAGCTTGCCCTGAAATGTTTCCACATAGACCTTGAGATTGAAGGGGATCCAAAGTAATTTGTATGTACCAAATTCACGTCTGGACAAGGCTGGGTCCGAACCGAACCATCGTCCGCTTGGGACCAAACTGTACGACGGTACGGACGGAACTCGGAGTCGGGGGCTTCGTACGGAACTTCTAGATGTTCCACGCCCTAACATTTGCGACGCTGGACAAAAATTGTTGCACTTGGGCAGATGTCGGGGTGATATCGCCATCTAGAGTGGAATGGCGTGGCAGGGAAAAACGGGTTTGTGTTGAGTGTGTTGAGATGCGCCAGTGTTGTTCGCTGCTGCCACGGCGATTGCTGCCAGCGCTGCTGAACCGCTGCCCACTCCCACCTACCACGCGCATCACAGCGTTTCTAATCGCACTGCCTGACCCCCCCCCCCAACAAATTTTCCTCTACCGTACCACCACTTTCCCCCCCCCCTCCCCCCCCCCCCCCCCCAACCCCCCAACACCAAACCGCGTAACTCCTGCACCGCAACCACCCTCACTACATCGAGCCTCGCATCGCGCTCCCTTGCGCCCCTCGCGCCTATTACGTCACCCCACAAAAAGGCCAAGCCCAAATGCATCCAGATCTAAGCATAAAACGCTCCGTACATTCGTCGTCGCGTCACTAGCCCTGTCGTAAATTCTCCACAGACAAACACACACTGGTTACAAGTTTGAGATTGCACAACGCGAATCCCGCCTGCAGCAAACTTCCTGGCCTTCACCATTTGTTAAACTTGCTGTTCTGAGTCATTAGTGACGTACAAGATTGTCGTAATGAGGATCACTCAATTGCTTCTTGTCTCACTGCTACTGGCACTTCTTCTCTGTCAAAATTATATGCTATTGCCCCGTCGCCGCCCCTCTGGGCCCCTCACGGCCCCTCACGGCCCCTTCGCGGCCCCGTCGCCGCCCCTCTTGGCCCCTCGCGGCCCCTCTACGGCCTCGTCGCCGCCCCTATCGGCCACCTCGCTGCCCCCAGCAGCCCCTAAGCCGCCCTTCGCAGCCACCTCGCCGCCCCTAGCGGCCCCGTCGTCGCCCCTAGCGGCCCCGTCGCCGCCCCTAGCGGCCCTGTCGCCGCCCTTCGCGGCCCCGTCGCCGCCTCTAGCGGCCCCGTCTCTGCCCTCTAGCGGCCCCGTCGCCGCCCGTCTCATCCTCTTCAGCCGCCCAGCAGCCGAGCCGCCCCGCCGCCGAGCCGCCCAGCAGCCGAGCCGCCCAGCAGCCGAGCCACCGAGCCGCCCAGTAGTCGAGCCGCCCAGCAGCCAAGCCGCCCAGCAGCCGAGCCGCCCAGCAGCCGAGCCATGGAGCCGCCCAGCAGCCGAGCCGCCCAGCAGCCAAGTCGCCCAACCGCCGAGCCGCCGTCAAGCCGCTACTGTTCCTACAGGTGCGCCCCGGCCCTACTCACTCGGACTAGTGAGATCTGTCAGAATATTATGCTCTAGCCTGTAGTGGGGTGCTCTATAGCGAGTACAACCCTTCTAGGGTTTGCTATTTGTATCCTCATTCTTGCTAGTGCAGGCCCTCTTCTTTCTTCTAAACTTTCACATGCTATCAGAGCAGGTTGATCCCCTTGGATCGATCCTGTGGGTGGGCTTACCACCTCCTTGCTTCCGCTGCAATTTGTTACCACTACTCTCGGTGCCGGACCCGTGGCGTGTGGCAGTTTTTCTTCCTGCCGTGCGCCCCGAGGCGCACGGCAGTTTTCTGCCCGCCGTGCGCCCCGAGGCGCGCGGCAGTTTTCTGCCCGCTGTGCGCCCTGAGGCGCGCGGCGGTTCTCTGCCCGCACGCGGCCCCCTCAGGTCGCCTCGACAGGCGACGGGAGGGGTGACCTAGGGGGTGGCGGATGTATACTGTTCCCTGCTCCTCCTCCTCCTCCTCCGTCTCCTTGTGCTGCAGCTGCCGCTGAGGGGGGGTGGACTTGTTGGAGCCGGTGGAGTGGTACTAAGGGGGGGTGAAGGGGGAGTGGAGCTAGGGGTGTAGCAGTGGGTGTGTGTCAGGGGGAGTGGAATCGTTTGGGAAGCTGAATGGAGGTTGCCGTCGTGTCGCCAGCAGCACCTCTATTCCGGGGAATTGCTCTGGTAGCCAAGTCGTAGCGAGCTGTGCCAGCCGCCCGTGGGTCCGTTGCTCGTCTGCCGCTACTTTAGCCGCGGGGCCAGTTACTCCAGTATTCCGGAGCGTTGTTCCGGTAGCCGCTGTGCCAGTGTGCCTCCTGTTGCCCATGTGTCTGCAGCTTCAGCCGTCGCCTCCTATCTCCTCTCCTCTCACTCTCTCTCCTCCTCCTCACTTGCCAGTTGTGACTACCACTAGCTTTGCTCATAATTGTGAACTTAAACTATTGCTTCTTGAACTTCTGCTCAGAATGTGTGGTGACATTGTGATCCACCCTGAGCTTGTACTGCTTTGCTTGCTCTGCTGATTACACCCCACTTCGGCTATGGGGGTGTGTCAGAATATTATGCTCTAGCCTGTAGTGGGGTGCTCTATAGCGAGTACAACCCTTCTAGGGTTTGCTATTTGTATCCTCATTCTTGCTAGTGCAGGCCCTCTTCTTTCTTCTAAACTTTCACAAGATCCCTCCGTGCTAGACCACTGCTGTCATGGCTACCCCCAGTGTCCTTACCTTTGATGCTGAGGGTCGTGCTGTTGACATTGAGGTCTGGGTCGATGACCTCCAGTTGTTCCTCCAGTGCGATAGGGCAGACAAACTCTCCCTATTTGATCTCACCTCTAGTGCTTCTCCTGCCCCACCTACTACTGGTGACACCACTGTTCGCTCACAGTGGGCCACATGCGATGCAGCTGCCCGTCTTGCTGTGCGTCGCCACTTACCGACCACTGAGCGTGCGCACTTTAGTCAGTACAAGAGTGCTAAGACCTTGTACGACGCTGTAGTTGCATGCTACTCTCCCCCTGCCACTGATGCTCTTAGCCGCCTCATGCTGCCATACTTGTTCCTGGACCTTGCTGCCTTTCCCACACTCGCTGGCCTCATTACGCACCTTCACACTAGTGACAATCGCTACCGCGGTGCGCTGCCTGCTGAGTTCTGTGCCAAGAACCCCCCCCCCCATGTACATCACCCTCTACTACATAGTCACACGGCTCCCTGACTCCTTTCACTTAGTCAGGGACCACTTCCTCTCAGTTTGCCCCACTACAGTCACCGTTGACCTCCTCGAGGAGCGCCTCCTAGCAGTAGAGAAGAGCATAGTCGCTGTAGGAGCCTCTTGTGGTGACCCTCGCACCCCCGTCTTTGAGAGGTGTTCCCCCTCCCCCCTCTTGCCCTCTGTTGCTTCTGCTGCTGCAGCCGACCTCGTTGGCACCGAGTCGGTTGGCGTTGTGTCTGCCCCTAGCGAGAGACGCCGCACCGGCAAGGGCAAGGGGGGCAAGGGCGCTAAAGGGGCTGGCGGGGGCGGTGGAGGTGGTGGTGGAGGCAGTGGAGGGGGTGGGGGTGGTGGTGGGAGTGGTGGCGGGGGAGGAGGTGTCGGTGGCAGCAGTGGAGGCGGAGGAGGCGGCGACGGTGGCGGAGGGAGCGGAGGCGGCGGAGGTGGCGGAGGCGACGGAGGTGGCGCAGGCGGCGGCGGCAGCGGTGGAGCTGGTCGCGGCTCTGCGCAAAGGGGTGGTTCCGGTGGTGGTCCGCGCCAGCAGCAGCAGCGCAGTCATGAGACCCCGTCCCCCCAGCAGCTTCGTGAGTGGTACGCTGCACGTCAGCGAGGTGAGGGTACTGGTCCCTGCACCTACGTCCTCCGTACCGGCGACCGCGCTGGTGAGCAGTGCGGGGGCCCGCACTCCACCCAGCGCTGCTTCGGCCGCCTGACGGACGCGTGGCGTCACCAGTTCCCTGACGCTACTGAGATCCCTCGCTGGGGAGAGCTGTCTAGGGCGGGGGTTGCTATCTTTGATCTTGATTATGATGCTATTCTTGCTGCCATGTATGCTGTTTCTGCCAGTGATGAGGGTGACTGTTACCTGTGTGTTCCGCCTGACTCGGGCATTGAGGCTGCTGCTCTAAGTACTAGTGAGACTGCTGCTCTAGGTGCTAGTGCGTCTAGTGCCCCAGGTGCTGGTGAGTCTGCTCTCTCAGGTACCACGTCGGCTCAGGCCTTACACACCTTCACCCTTGACTCAGGTGCTTCCCGCTCCTTCTTTCGAGACCGCACCACGCTTACGCCGCTTAGTCGGCCAGTTGCAGTCTCCCTGGCGGACCCCTCTGGGGGTCCTGTCCTTGCTAGCTTCTCCACTGTCTTACCGTGCCCTGCAGCCCCCTCTGGCACCCTGTCAGGTCTCTACCTCCCCTCGTTCTCTACGAACTTGGTGAGTGGAGCTGATCTACAGGATAGGGGGGTTGACCAGTTCACTCCTGCGAGTCAACGCGTGACCCACTGCACGTGTGCTCGGACGGGCCGACACTTGGCCACGTTTACCCGCCGGCCGGGGACGAGCCTGTACACACTGACTACTGAGTCTCCTCCGGTTGCTGAGTCTGGTCAGGTAGCTGTGTCAAGTCAGGTGTTTGCTGCAGCGTCTAGGTCTGGTCCTGAGTCTGCTCCCTGCTCGTGTTGTCTCCTGTCCCACCAGACTTTCCTTTGGCACCACCGCCTTGGTCACCCCTCCCTGCCTCATCTCCGAGGCATGGCCTCCCGTGTCCTTGTCTCTGGTCTCCCCCGGTCCCTCCCTCCCCTACCTCCAGGGCCTGCCCCTACCTGCATTCCCTGCGTTGAGGGGCAGCAGCGTGCCGCCCCTCACTCCTCCGAGTTTCCTCCGACAGAGGCTCCGCTGCAGACTCTTCACATGGACGTGTAGGGCCCCGCCCGCGTCCGTGGCCAGGGTCACGAGCGTTACTTCCTGTTGGTGGTTGACGACTACTCGCGTTACACCACGGTCTTCCCCTTGCGAAGCAAGGGTGATGTCACTGAGGTGTTGATCGACTGGATCCGCGCAGCTCGTCTCTAGCTCAGAGAGAGTTTCAGCTGGGACTTTCCTGTTCTGCGTCTGCACTCTGACAGAGGCGGGGAGTTTTCCTCTGCCCGTCTGGGAGCCTTGTGTTGTGCACAGATCATCCGCCAGACATTCACGCTTCCGGCCTCTCCACAGAAAAATGGGATTGCTGAGCGCCGCATTGGCATGGTCATGGACGTCGCTTGTACGTCCATGATCCATGCGGCTGGCCCCCATTTTCTGTGGCCGTTTGCGGTTCAGTACGCCACGCATCAGCTCAACCTTCAGCCCCGGGTCTCCTTGCCAGAGACCTCCCCCACCTTGCAGTGGACGGGGAAGGTTGGCGATGCGTCTGCGTTTCGGGTTTGGGGATCTCGGTCGTTTATCCGCGACTTGTCTGCGGACAAGCTGTCCCCCCGTGCTGTTCCCTGCGTATTCCTTGGCTTCCCCCCTAACGCGCCTGGGTGGCAGTTTTACCACCCCACCTCGCACCGTGTTTTGTCCTACTAGGACGTCACCTTTTACGAGTCGGTGCCTTACTACTGTCTCTTCCCCTACCGCACTGCGCCCCTCCCCTCGCCGCTACTCTTCCTTGTGCCAGGTCCTCCCCTGGTAGACCCCCTCCCCCCACAGGGTCCTGCCCCGTCGGGTGTGTCCCGGGTAGACGCAGTCGAGCGTGTCGAGGTAGCTATTGACTCTGGTGCTGCTAGAGGTGCTGAACCTGCGGGTGCCGGGTCTGGAGGTGCTCAGCCTTGGGGTGCGGAGTCTGGGGGTGCTGAGCCTGGGGGTGCTGAGTCTGGGGGTGCTGAGCCTGGGGGTGCTGAGCCTGGGGGTGCGGAGCCTGGTGGTGCTGGGTCTGCTCGTGTGGCCTCTCACGGTGCTTCGTCGAGGCGGGAGCTACTCTCTCCGCAGGAGCTGCGCGAGTCGTTTGCCCGGCGCTGGAGCCGAGCTGCTGGAGCTGGAGGTGCTACTTTTGGTGCTGGTCCTGGAGGTGCTACTGTTGGTGCTACTGACGGTACTGGAGCTGCTGGGACTGGGGGTGCTGCTGGGGCTGTTGGAGTTGGTCCAGCTGGACATACTGCTGGAGCTGGTGGCGGTACTGGAGCTGCCGGTCCTACTGGAGTAGGTGCTGCTGGAGCTGCTGGAGCTGGAGATGCTGGGGGTGTTGGCGCTGGTGCTTCTGAGGGTGCTGGAGTTGGCGCTGCTGGAGCTAGAGGTGATGCTGACACTGGTGCTGTCGCTGGGGGTACTGGTGTTGTCCCTGCTGTTTCTGGAGGCGTTGCGCGGCCGCGGCCGTACTTCGTTCCGCTCCTTGAGCAGGTTCTTGGCCTCCCGCCTTCTACTGGTCCTGCTCCTCCCTTCGAGTATCCATAGCCTGTCCTGTCGCGGTCACAGTTACAGCCCGCCTCCCCCCTACCTGCTCCTTCTCCCTACACTGGTCCTACTAGAGATCTTGCTGAGCGTCCTGAGCCTGCGTCTCGTCCTGCGTCGCCTGTTCGTGCTGCTCGCACTAGTGGTCGTGCTCCGCATCCGCGTCCTCCTGCGGTCCCAGGAACACACCAAATGGCACTGAGTCCTTCCACTGCTCCTCTGCGTGTCCCGTTGCCGTCTCCTCCAGAGTCCTCTCTTCCTATTCTTGCTGACCCGGAGTCTGACTCTCTTCGTGCTGCCAGTCCTACTGTCACGCGTCTCCTGGCTACTGTTGTCACTGACCCTTCCTTTGAGTCCACTGCAGCGTCAGCCCTCGTTGCTGAGCTTGTCGACTTTGCCGCTCGCTCTCGTCTGGACTACACTACTAGTCTTGTTGCTGAGTCTGAGTCTGTCTGTCGGGGGTGAGTGTGCTCTTAGCACAGACGTCCTTGAGGACAGGCAGGAGGAGTTCCAGTGTTTTGCTGCTGCTTTGCCTCATCTCGTGTCCACGCTGATTGCCCCTGAGGGAGACCTGGATGCACCAGACATCCCGACTCCTCGATCGTACGCTGAGGCGATCAAGGGTCCCTACTCCTCTCAGTGGCAGACAGCCATGGACGCAGAGATGGCTTTCTGGAAGTCCACAGGCACCTACGTCGACGAGGTTCCCCCACCTGGGGCGAACATCGTCAGTGGCATGTAGATTTTCAAGGTGAAGCGGCCGTCGGGTTCTCCGTCTGTCTTCAAGGCGCGTTACGTGGCTCGAGGCTTTAGTCAGCGGCAGGGAGTTGACTACTTTCAGACCTTCTCTCCCACCCCGAAGATGACGACTCTTCGGGTGCGGCTACACATAGTCTCTCAGCGCGACTACGAGCTTCACTCTCTTGACTTCAGCATAGCTTTCTTGCAGGGCAGCCTGCATGAGGAGATCTGGCTGCGCCGCCCACCTCAATTCACTGTGTCGTTTCCTCTTGGTACCCAGTGGAGCCTGCGGCGGCCACTCAACGGTCTCTGCCAGGCGCCCCGTGAGTGGCACGACACACTGAGGACTACACTTGCGGCTCTTGGCTTTGCTCCTTCGACTGCCAACCCGTCGTTGTTTTTGAGCACCGACACCTCTTTGCCGCCGCTCTACATCCTCATGTACGTCGAGGACTTGGTCTTTGCCGCTGCTGACACTGCTAGACTCGCCCACGTGAAGTCCGAGCTGCAGAAGAGACACACGTGCACAGACCTAGGTGAACTGCGCAGCTACCTTGGCTTGCAGATCACCCGGGACAGAGCACAGCGCACCATTACCCTGACTCTGTCACACATGGTGCAGCAGGTCCTTCAGCACTTCGACTTCACGTACTCCTCGCCTCAGACCACTCCTCTGTCTACTCGCCACTCGCTCTCAGCTCTGCCTTCGGATAAGTCCGTAGAGTCGATTGGCCTGTACCCAGAGCTTGTTGGCTGCCTCATGTACCTGATGACCTATACACGACCTGACCTTGCAGACCCTCTTAGCATCTTGGAACGCTATGTTTCTCTTGGGAGACACCGACCAGAGCACATGGCTGCAGCGAAGAGGGTGTTGCGCTACTTGTGTAGTACGTCGGGCATGGGGCTAGTGCTTGGAGGGCGACGTCGAGTGATCCTCACAGCCCATTGGGTTTAGGGTTGACAACTACTCGCGTTACACCACAGTCTTCCCCTTGCGCAGCAAGGGTGACGTCACTGAGGTGTTGATCGACTGGATCCGCGCAGCCCATCTCTAGCTCGGACTTTCCTGTTCTGCGTCTGCACTCTGACAGAGGCGGGGAGTTTTCCTCTGCCCGTCTGGGAGCCTTTTGTTGTGCACAGGGCATTCGTCAGACCTTCACGCTTCCGGCCTCTCCACAGCAAAATGGGATTGCTTAGCGCCGCATTGGCATGGTCATGGACGTCTCTCGTAGACCCCCTCTTCCTTGCACCAGGTCCTCCCCCGGTAGACCCCCTCCACCCTCATGGTCCTGCCCCGTCAGGTGTGTCCCAGGTAGACGCAGTCGAGCCTGTCAAGGTAGCTGTTAACTCTGGTGCTACTAGAGGTGCTGAGCCTGCGGGTGCCGGGTCTGGGAGTGCTGAGATTGGGGGTGCTGAGACTGGGGGTGCTGAGTCCGGGGGTGCTGAGTCTGGGGGTGCTGAGCCTACGGGTGCTGGGTCTGGGGGTGAGGAGCCTGGGGGTGCGGAGCCTGGGGGCGCTGGGTCTGCTCGTGTGGCCCCCGGCGGTGCTTCATCGAGGCGGGTGCCGCTCTCTCCACAGGAGCTGCGCGAGTAGTTTGCCCGCCGCTGGAGCTGTGCTACTAGAGCAGGAGGTACTACTGGTGCTGCTAGGGCTACTGGAGTTGGTCCTGCTGGAGCTGCTGGGGGTGTTGGCGCTAGTGTTTCTACTGGCGCTTGTGCGTTTAGGGGTGCTACTGAGCCTGCTGGAGCTGAAGTTGCTCGGGGTGTTGGCGCTGGCGGTGCTACTGCATTCGTGCTTCTAAGGGTGCTGGAGTTGGCGCTGCGGGAGTTGGAGCTGCTGGGGGTGTTGGCGCTGGTGGTACTGTTGACGCTAGTGCTTCTGAGGGTGCTGGAGTTGGCGCTATTGGAGCTAGAGGTGCTGTTGGCGCTGGTGCTGCCGCTGAGGGTACTGGTGCTGTCCCTGCTGGTTCTGGAGGCGCTGCGGGGCCGAGGCCGTAATTCGTTTCGCTCTTGGAGCAGGTTCTTGGTCTCCCGCCCTCTACTGATCCTGCTCCTCCCTTAGACTGTCCACAGCCTATCCAGTTACAGTCACAGTTACAGCCCGCCTCTCCTCTACCTGCTCCTTCTCCCTACAGTTGTCCTACTAGAGGTCTTGCTGAGCGTCGTTAGCCTGTGTCTCGTCCTGCGTCGCCTGTTCGTGGTGCTCGCACTAGTAGTCGTGCTCCGCATCCGCGTCCTCCTGCGGTCCCCGGCACACACGAGATGATGCTGCGTCCGTCCACTGCTCCTCTGCGTGTCCCATTGCCGTCTCCTCCAGAGTCCTCTCTTCCTACTCTTGCTGACCCGGGGTCTGACTCTGTTCGTGCTGCTAGTCCTTCGGTCACGCGTCTCCTTGCTACTATTGTCACCGACCCTTCCTTTGAGTCCACTGCTACGTCGGCCCTGGTTGCTAAGCTTGTCGACTTCGCTGCTCGCTATCGTCTAGACTACGTTGCTAGTCTCGTTGCTGAGTTTGAGTCTGTCTGTCCTCCGTCCGTCGGGGGTGAGTGTGCTCTTAGCATGAACGTCCTTAAGGACAGGCAGGAGGAGTTCTAGTGCTTTGGTGCTGCTTTGCCCCATCTCGTGTCCACGCTGATCGCCCCTGAGGGAGTCCCGGATGCACCAGACATCCCGATTCCTTGATCGTACGCTAAGGCGATCGAGGGTCCCTACTCCTCTCAGTGGCAGTTCGCCATGGACGCAGAGATGGCATCCTAGAAGTCCACAGGCACCTACGTTGACCAGGTTCCCCCACCTGGGGCGAACATCGTCAGTGGCATGTGGATCTTCAGGGTGAAGTGGCCGCCAGGTTCTCCGCCTGTCTTCAAGGCGCGTTACTTTTAGACCTTCTCTCCCACCCCGAAGATGACCACTCTTCGGGTACTACTGCACATAGCCACTCAGCGCGACTACAAGCTTCACTCTCTTGACTTCAGCACAGCTTTCTTGCAAGGCAGCCTGCACGAGGAGATCTGACTGCGCCGCCCACCTGGCTTCACTGGGTCGTTTCCTCCTGGTACCCAATAAATCCTCCAGCGGCCAGTCTACGGTCTCCGCCAGGCGCCCCGTGAGTGGCACGACTCACTGAGGACTACACTTGCGGCTCTTGAGTTTGCTCCTTCTACCGCCGACCCGTCGTTTTTTCTGCGCACCGACACCTCTTTGCCGCCGTTCTACATCCTCGTGTACGTCGACGACTTGGTCTTTGCCACTGCTGACACTGCTTGACTTGTTACAAACAAGAAGTGATTGAACTATGAAAGTTGGAGTACAAGTAGGAAGCCCTAACTTTGTGTACCCCCTAAAGGCTAACCCACTATAGCCTACACAATAATAACACATATAGTGTTTGACACACCCCCATAGGCAAATTGGGGGAGAACAAGGGGTCACAAGACCAGTCAAGAAAGGCAAGCAAGCTGAGGGTGGATCACGACGTCACCACACACTCCGAGCACAAGCAAAGGGCCATAAGGCCAGTTCACATGCAGAGGTATATATTTTTAGTATAGACAACAAGGATGATCTCAACCTAGCAGAGCAAACAGGCAGGAGTATATATAGAGATCACAGTACAGGCAAAGCCTACAACAAGTGAGACAAAATGGGCACTAGCCCCAACAAAGTACAGAAGCGCTAATGATCACCAGGCTGAGGTGCCTTGGTGAAAACATCAGCGGTGTTGGCCTGAGAGGCCACGTAGCACAGACGAAGCTGACCACGCTGCTGAAGCTCACGAGCAAGGAAGTAACGGAGAGCGATGTGCTTCGTTCTGTGCTCCAATCTGTGCTCATGACACAAGGCAATGGCAGCCTTGTTGCCGACGTACAGCACTAGAGGAGAACTAGGCCGCTCTCCAAGGTCGGTCAGCAGGTAGGTGAGCCAGCGTAACTCCTGTGCAACCATGGCTGTGGCGTAGATCTCAGCCTCACAACTTGAGCTGAGAACCGAAGACGAACGAGAAGAGCGCCACGATATTGAACCAGAGCCAAGACTGAAGGTGTAACCCTGTGACGACCGCTGAGTAGCTTGGTCGTCAGCCTAAGAAGCGTCTGAGTGCCCAGTGAGAACAACCGAGCTCCCTCCTCCAAGCACGAGCCCCATGCGTGATGTAATGCACAAGTAGCGCAATACCCTCTTTGCAACATCCTAGTGCACCTTTCGGTGACGACCAGCAGCCACATAGCGAGCCAAAAGACCAAGAGGGTATGCTAGGTCAGGACGAGTGCAAGTCATCAGGTACATGAGGCAACCAACTAGCTCTAGGTAAGGACCACGCGACTCTACGGACTCATCCGAAGGCAGAGCTGAGACCGAGTGACCTATAGCCAGAGGAGTGGCCTATGCTGAGGACCAGGTGAAGCCGAAGCACTGAAGGACCTGCTGCACCATGTGTGACTGAGTCAGGGTAATGGTGCGGCGTGCTCTGTCCCGGGTGATCTGCAAGCCAAGGTAGCTGTGCAGTTCACCTAGGTGTGTGCACGTGTGTCTCTTCTGCAGCTCGGACTTCACGCGGGCGAGTCCAGCAGTGTCAGCTGTGGCAAAGACCAAGTCGTCGACGTACACGAGGATGTAGAACGGCGGCAGAGAGGTGTCGATGCGCAGAAACAACGACGGGTCAGCAGTAGAGGGAGCGAACCCAAGAGCCGCAAGCATAGTCCTCAGTGTGTCGTGCCACTCACGCGGTGCCTGGCGGAGACCGTAGACTGGCCGTCGGAGGCTCCGCTGGATGCCAGGAGGGAAAGTCCCAGTGAAGCCAGGTGGACGGCGCAGCCAGATCTCCTCGTGCAGGCTGCCCTGCAAGAAAGCAGTGCTGAAGTCAAGGGAGTGAAGCTCGTAGTCACGCTGAGCGGCTATGTGCAGCAGCACCCGAAGAGTGGTCATCTTCGGGGTGGGAGAGAAGGTCTGAAAGTAGTCAACTCCCTGCCGCTAACTGAAGCCACGAGCCACGTACCGCGCTTTGAAGACAGGTGGAGAACCTGGCGGCCGCTTCACCCTGAAGATCCACATGCCACTGACGATGTTCGCCCCAGGAGGGGGAACTGCGTCAACGTAGGTGCCTGTGGACTTCCAGGAAGCCATCTCTGCATCCATAGCTGCCAGTTACTGAGAGGAGTAGGGACCCTCTACGGCCTCCGCGTAAGAGCGCGGAGTCGGGATGTCAAGTGCATCCAGGTCTCCCTCAGGGGTAAGCAGTACGGACGCGAGATGAGTGTCAAACATTATATATGTTGTGTTAGTTTAGACTACAGTGGGTTAGCCTATAGGGGGTGCACAATTCTAGGGTTAGGTACTTGTACTCATTTCACTGTTAGTTCATTCATTCCTGTTCAGTTATTCCAACATGGTATAGAGCAGGTCCTTCCTAGGACCGAAATTTTTAAAGGGCCCACCACTACCTACCTACCTACCTACCTACCTATTTGCGCCCTAGGGTGCCTCGGCTTTGTCACGCCCCTAGAGGCCCCCCTTGACGGCCCCGCGCTTACCTACCTAGCGGCCCTGTCGGCCCCGTGCTAGGCCCGTTCAGGCACCGTCGGCCCCGCGCTAGCCCCGTTCAGGCCCCGTCGGCCCCGTTCAGGCCCCGTCGGCCCCACGCCCGCTGTCCCTAGAGGCCCCGTCGGCCCCGTTCTGGCCCCGTCGGCCCCACGCTAGCCCCGTTCAGGCCCCGTCGGCCCCGCGCTAGCCCCGTTCAGGCCCCGTCGGCCCCTCGCTAGCCCCGTTCAGGCCCCGTCGGCCCCACACCCGCTGTCCCTAGAGGCCCCGTCGGCCCCGTTCAGGCCCCGTCGGCCCCGCGCTAGCCCCGTTCAGGCCCCGATCGGCCCCGCCTTAGCCCCGTTCAGGCCCCGTCGGCCCCACGCCAGCTGTCCCTAGAGGCCCCGTCGGCCCCGTTCAGGCCCCGTCGGCTCCGCGCTAGCCCCGTTCAGGCCCCGATCGGCCCCGCGCTCGCCTCTCTAGGGCCCCAAACATCCCCGCCGACCCCGCGCCCACCGTCCCTAGAGGCCCCAACCGGCCCCATGCCCACAGTCCCTAGAGGCCCCGAGCGGCCCGTTCCCGCCGCAGCCCGTGACCGAACCGAGACGCGCGACCCGAGCCGCGCGCCCCGAGCCGAGCCGCGCAACCCAGCCAAACCGCGCGACCCGACCCGAACCGAGCCGCGCCGCCCTGCCCTAACTGGTCTGTCCTAACTGCTTCTCCTACTGCTGCTGCTGCTATTTCTGCTGTTCCTATGGCTAGCCCACAGGTTCTCGTGTTCGATGCTGAGGGCCGCCCTGTGAAGTTTGACACCTGGCTCGATGATCTGCACCTCTACCTACAACTCAGAGCCAAGGATGACATCTCACTGTACGATCACGCCCTAGGCCATGTCACTGCCCCTGTTGCTACTGCTGACAGCACTGCTCGCTCACAGTGGCAGACTCGTGATGCCCACGCTCGCTTCGCTATTCGCAAGTCCTTGCCGATAGACGAACGCGAGCACTTTGGCCAGCACAAGACTGCACAGGCACTGTACACAGCTGTAGTTGCTCGCTACTCCTCACCTGCCTCTGCCGCATTAGGCCGTCTCTCCCTCCCCTACCTGTTTCCCGACCTGGCATCTTTTCATACAGTCGCTGACCTCATCACACACCTCCGTACTAGTGAGGCCCGCTTCCGTGCCGCCATGCCTGCTGAGTTCCTTGCCACGCACCCCCCTCCACTCTGGCTCACTCTCTACCACCTAGTCACCCGCCTCCCTGACACACTTCGTGCTGTCAGGGACCACTTCCTAGCTCGCTGCCCCATTGAGCTCACCATTGCCCTCCTCGAGAAGGAGCTACTTGCAGCCGAGACTAGCATAGTCGCTGTAGGTGCCTCTCGTGGCGACCCCCGTACCCCGTTCTTTGAGGGGTGTTCTCCTTCCCCCCTTCTTCCCTCTGTCGCCTCTGCTGCTGCTGTCGACCTTCTTGGTGCTAAGAAGGTCGGCGCTGCGCCTGCCTCGAGTGGGCGCCGCAGCGGCAAGGGCAAAGGGGGCAAGGGTGGTGGCGGTGACGGCGGGGGAGGCGGCGGTGGGGGTGGTGGAGGCGGTGGTGGTGGTGGCTCGGCTGGAGGGGCGAGTGGTAGCGGTTGGGGTGGTGGCGGCAGCGGCGGGGGAGGTGGCACGGGCGGAGGCGGTGGTTGGGGTGGAGGTGGACGCGGCGGCGGCAGGGGTTGGGGTGGTCGAGGAGGTGGCAGCGGTGGTGGTGGCCGTGGAGGCGCTGGTGGTGGCCAGGGCCAGCAGCACACTCCTTCGCCCCAGGAGGTCCGTGAGTGGTACTCTCAGCACGGGGGTGGGGTTGGTCTTAGCTGCACGTACGTCATTCGCACTGGTGACTGCACTGGTCAGCAGTGTGGACGACCGCACGCCACACAGCGCTGCTTCGCTCGTCTCGATGACGCTTGGCGTGTTCGGTTCCCTCAGGCCACTGAGCTGCCCCGCTGGATTGATCTCCTGAAGAAGGGGATTGATATCTATGCTCTAGACTTTGATGCTATTCTATCTGCCATGTATGTGATGTCTAATAGTGGAGAGGGTGCTGAGTACTTGTGTGTGCCGCCCGACCCGGGCATTAGGGCCAGTGCGTCTGCCGCTCCAGGTACTTGCGTGTCGGCTACCCCAGGTGCTGGTGAGGCTGCTGCTCTAGGTGCTCGTGTGTCTGCCCCCCTTGGTACTGAGTCGACTGCAGCACTGCACACCTTCACACTGGACTCAGGTGCTTCTCGCTGCTTCTTTCGTGACCGCACTGCCCTTGAGTCGCTTGCTCGGCCAGTTGCTGTCTCCCTTGCTGACCCCTCTGGGGGTCCGGTCATTGCGACCTCTTCCATTGTCCTTCCCTGTCCTGCGGTCCCGTCGGGCACACTGTCAGGTCTCCACCTCCCCTCGTTCTCTACGAACTTGGTGGCAGGATGTGCGCTCCAGGACGGGGGTATTCACAAGTTCACCCCTGCCTACGAGCGCGTGACACACTGTACGTGTGCTCGTACGGGCCGTCACTTGGCTACCTTCACTCGGCAGCCGGGGTCGGACCTGTACACACTGACTACTGAGTCCCCTCAGGTTGCTGCGTCTGCGTCTGCGTCCGCGTCAGGTCAGCTGTCCGCCCCCTGCTCGTGTCGCTCTCTGGCACACGAGACTGTCCTCTGGCACCACCGCCTTGGCCACCCGTCTGTGCAGCGGCTTCGTGCCATGCACTCCCGGTACCTTGTCTCTGGCCTGCCCAAGGTCCTTCCTGCCCTCCCACCCTCGCCTGCTCCTACCTGTCTCCCCTGTGTCGAGGGAAGGCAGTGCGCCGCTCCTCACTCCTCCTCGTTTCCCCCGACGACTGCTCCCTTGCAGACACTCCACATGGACGTGTGGGGCCCAGCCCGCATCCGTGGTCAGGGTCAGGAGAGGTACTTCCTGATAGTTGTTGACGACTACTCGCGCTACACCTCGGTCTTCCCCTTGCGCACCAAGGGTGAGGTCCCTGATGTCTTGATCCCTTGGATCCGCAGAGCCCGTCTCCAGCTCAGCGAGCGTTTTCACTCGGACTTTCCTGTCCTGCGCTTGCACTCTGACAGAGGTGGTGAGTTCTCCTCCGACCTCTTGGCAGCCTACTGTGCTGAGCACGGCATTGAGCAGTCGTTCGCGCTTCCGGCCTCTCCACAGCAGAATGGGGTTGCGGAGCGCCGCATTGGCCTGGTCATGGAGGTCGCCCGTACCTCCTTGATCCATGCGGCTGCCCCCCACTTTCTGTGGCCGTTTGCGGTCCGGTACGCTGCGCATCACCTCAACCTCTGGCCCCGTGTCTCCTTGCCGGAGACCTCGCCCACGCTGCTGCGGACGGGGGAGGTTGGTGATGCGTCGCGTTTCCGGGTCTGGGGATCTCGAGCTTTTGTCCGCGATACGTCTGCGGACAAGCTCTCCTCCCGTAATGTTCCCTGCGTCTTCCTCGACTTTGTCCCGGACGCGTCTGGTTGGCAGTTTTACCACGCCACCTCGCGCCGAGTCTTGCCCTCTCAGGACGTCACTTTTGACGAGTCCGTCCCCTACTACCGCCTCTTCCCCTACCGCACTGCCCCGCTCCCCCTCCCCGCCTCTCTTCCTTGCGCCAGGTGCTGCTGTTGCAGACCCCCTCCCCCCTCAGGGTGCCGCTCCCTCAGGTGTGTCTCAGGTAGACCCGGTTGAGCCTGTTGAGGTAGTTGTCGACTCTCGTCCTGCTGGGGGTGTTGAGCCTGGGGGTGCTGAGCCTGGGGGTGTGGAGCCTGGGAGTGCTGAGCCTGGGGGTGTGGAGCCTGGGGGTGTGGAGCTTGGGGGTGCTGAGCTTGGGGGTGCGGAGCCTGGGGGTGCTGAGCTTGGGGGTGCTGAGCTTCGGGGTGCTGAGCCGCAGAGTCCGGAGTCTGGGGGTTCTGGGTCTGGAGGTACTGGGCCTGGGAGTCCTACACCTGGAGGAGCCCTCTCCTCAAAGCAGCTGCGTGAGTGGTACTTACAGTACTGCAGCCTGCGGAGAGGTGCCGCTCGAGCCAAACGTGCTGCTGGGATTGGTGCTAGTGCTTCTTCTCCCATTCGGGAGCTCACCTCCCGTGAGCGGATCCGTGAGTGGTACGAGCGGCGCTGCACTCTTCGGAGTGGCGTGCCTCGTGTTGCGGACCCCGCTGCCGTTGGAGCTGCTGCTGGTGCTGAGGACCCGGGCGTTGGAGCTGCCGCTGGTGCTGCGGACCCGGGTGTTGGAGCAGCTGCTGGTCCTGAGGACCCGGGCGTTGGAGCTGCCGCTGATACTGCGGACCCGGGAGTTGGAGCTGCTGCTGGTGCTGAGGACCCGAGTGTTGGAGCTGGTGCTGGTGCTGAGGACCCGGGCGTTGGAGCTGCTGCTGGTGCTACGGACCCGGGTGCTGGAGCTGCTGCTGGTGCTGCAGACCCAGGTGTTGGAGCTGCTGTTGGAGCTGCGGACCCAGGTGTTGGCGCTGCTGCTGGTGCTGCGGACCCTGGTGCAGGTGTCCCTGCTGGCTCTGGTGTCGCTGCACAGTCCCGGCCGTACTTCGTTCCGCTCCTTCAGCAGGTTCTTGGTCAGCTCCCTCCTCCTTGTCCTCCTCCCTCCTTAGCGTGTCCTCCGTCTGTCCAGCTGTAGTCGCAGTTACCGTCTGCCTCCTCTCACCCTGGTCCTGCTCCTTACACTGGTCCGACTGGAGGTTTTACTGAGCGTCGTGAGCCTGAGTCTTGTCCTGCGTTGCCTATCCGTACTGCTCTCTCTGGTAGTCATGTCCAGCGTCAGTGTCTTCCTGCTGTCCCAGGCACTCACCGGATGGCGCTTCGTCCGTCCACTGCTCCACAGCGTGTCCCACTGCCGTCTCCTCCTGCTTCCTCTCTTCCTGCTCTTGCTGACCCTGAGTCCGACTCTCTTCGTGCTGCCAGTCCTACTGTCACGCGTCTCCTGTCTACTGTTGTCACTAACCCTTCCTTTGAGTCTGCTACTGCGTCTGCCTTAGTTGCTGAGCTTGTCGACTTTGCTGCCACCTGTCGTCTAGACTACGCTGCTAGCCTAGTTGCTGAGTCTGAGTCTGTCTGCTAGGCTAGCAGCGTAGTCTAGACGACAGCGAGCAGCAAAGTCGACGAGCTCAGCAACAAGAGCAGACGCAGCAGTGGACTCAAAAGAGGGGTCAATGACGGCTGTAGCAAGGAGACGCGTGACAGTAGGAGTGGCAGCACGAAGAGAGTCCGACTCCGGGTCGGCAAGCGCAGGAAGAGAGGACTCAGGAGGAGAAGGCAAAGGGACACGCAGAGGAGCAGTGGACGGACGCAGAGACATTCGGTGCGTGCTAGGGACAGGAGGAGGACGCTAACGCGAACCGCGACCACTAGCGCGAGCAGCACGAACAGGCGACGCGGGACGAGACGCAGGCTCACGACGCTCAGCAAGACCTCCAATAGGACCAGTGTAAGGAGAGGGAGCAGGCAGTGGGGAGGCCAGCGGTACCTGGGACTGTGACTGGACAGGCGGTGGACACTCTACAGGAGGAGAAGAACCAAGAACTTGCGGAAGGAGCGGAACGAAGTACGGTCGAGGCCGCGCGGCGGCTCCAGACACAGCAGGGACAGCACCAGTACCCTCAGCGGCAGCACCAGCGCCAACAGCACCTCCAACTGCAGTACCTCCAGCAGCACCAGCAGCACCCGCAACAGGACCGCCGCCAGGACTCACAGCAGTAGCCTCAGCGCCAACACCCTCAACAGCTCCAGCTCCAGTCGTACCCGCAGGCCCAGCAGCTCCAGCACTCCCAGGACGAGCACCTCCGGCACCGGCAGCACCAGCACCCTCAGTGGCTGAAGAAGCTCCAGCTCCAGCAGTACGCCTCCAGCGCCGGGCAAACCACTCGTGCAGCTCCTGTGGAGAGAGTGGCTCCCGCCGAGACGAAGTACCCGGAGAACCTCCAAGCCCAGCACCGCCAGACGCCACACAAGCAGGTCCAGGCTCAGCACCTCTAGTCCTAGCACCCCCAGGCTCAGCACCCCCAGGCGTGGCACCCCCAGGCTCAGCACCCCAAGTCGTAGCAACCCCAGGCTCAGCACCCCAAGTCGCAGCACCCCCAGGCTCAGCACCCCCAGTCTCAGCACCCCCAGGCTCAGTACCCCCTCGCACAGCACCCCAAGAGTCAGCACCCCCAGGCTCAGCACCCGCAGCAGTACCAGAGTCACCAGCAACCTCGACCGGCTCGACAGCGTCTACCTAGGACACACTTGAAGGGGTAGGACCCTGAGGGGGGAGGGGGTCTACCGGGGGGGGACCTGGCACAAGGAAGAGCGGAGGCGAGGGGAGGGAAGGAGTGCGGTAGGGGAAGAGACGGTAGTAGGGGACCGACTCGTCAAACGTGACGTTCTGGGAGGACAGAACACGTCGAGAGGAGGGGTGGTAGAACTGCCACCCTGGCGCGTCAAGGGGGAAGCCAAGGAAGACACAAGGAGCAGCACGAGGGGACAGCTTGTCCGCAGACAAGTCGCGGAAAAACGCCCGAGATCCCCAGACACGGAACGTAGACGCATCGCCGACCTTCCCCGTCCACAGCAAGGCTGGGGAGGTCTCCGGCCTGGAGACCCTGGGGTGAAGGTTGATCTGATGCGCCGCGTACCTAACCGCAAATGGCCACAGAAAATGGGGCCCAGCCGCATGCACCATGGAGGTACGAGCGACGTCCATGACCATGCCAATGCGGCGCTCAGCGATCCCATTTTGCTGTGGAGAGTCCGGAAGCGTAAAGGTCTGGCGGATGCCTCGCGCACGGCAGTAGACTCGCAGAAGGCCAAAGGAGAACTCTCCGCCTCGGTCAGAGTGCAGACGCAGAACAGGAAAGTCCGAGCCGAAGCTCCTCCTGAGCTGGAGACGAGCTGCGCGGATCCAGTCGATTAGCACCGCAGTGACATCGCCCTTGCTGCGCAAGGGGAAGACTGTGGTGTAACGCGAGTAGTCGTCAACCACCAGCAGGAAGTAGCGCTCGTGACCCTGTCCACGGACGCGGGCCGGGCCCCACACGTCCATGTGAAGCGTCTGCAGCGGGGCCTCTGTCGGGGGAAACTAAGAGGAGTGAGGGGCAGCCCGGAGGCGCCCCTCGACACAGGGGACGCAGGAAGGACCATGTCCAGGAGGAAGGGGAGGGAGGGACCGGGGAAGACCAGAGACAAGGACACGGGAAGCCATGCCTCGGAGACAAGGCAGGGAGGGGTGACCAAGACGGTGGTGCCACAGGAGAGTCTCGTGAGACAGGAGGCGACACGAGCAGGGGGCAGACTCAGGACCAGACCTGGACGCTGCACCAAACACCTGACCCGACGCAGCTACCTGGCCAGACGCAGGGACAGGAGGAGACTCAGTGGTCAGGGTGTAGAGGCTCGACCCCGGCCGACGCGTAAACGTGGCCAGGTGCCGGCCTGTGCGAGCGTCCGAGCGGTGGGTCACCCGCTGGCTCGCAGGAGTAAACTCGTGAACCCCTGCATCCTGTAGGTCAGCACCACTCACCAAGTTCGTAGAGAACGAGGGGAGGTAAAGACCAGACAGGGTGCCCGAGGGGGCAGCCGGACACGGGAGGAAAGTGGAGAAGTGAGAGAGGACAGGACCCCCAGAGGGGTCTGCCAGGGAGACTGGAACTGGCCGACCAAGCGGCGTGAGTGTGGTGCGGTCTCGAAAGAAGGAGCGAGAAGCGCCTGAGTCAAGTGTGAAGGTGAGGGAGGCCGAAGCCGACGCAGTACCTGAGAGCGCAGACTCACCAGTACCTGAGGGCGCATACGCACTGGCACCTAGAGCAGCAGCCTCACTAGCACCTAGCGCAGCACTACCAATGCCCGGGTCGGGCGGGAAACACCGGTAAGAGTCACCCTCATCACTAACAGTCACAGCATACATGGTAGCAAGGATAGCATCAAAGTCAAGATCATAGATAGCTACGCCTGCCCTAGACAGCTCTCCCCAGCGGGGGATCTCACTAGCCTCCGGAAACTGCTGACGCCAAGCGTCCGTCAGGCGGCCAAAGCAGCGCTGGGTGGGGTGGGCACCCCCACACTGCTCACCCGCGCGGTCGCCGGTGCGAAGGACGTAGCTGCACGGACCAAAACCCCCACCACGCTGACGCTGCGTGTACCACTGACGGAGCTGCCGAGGGGAGGGGATGTCACGAGACCGCTCCTGCTGCTGCTGCTGCTGGCGCTGACCGCCACTGGAGCCGCTCCGCTGCGAAGCACCACCCCGACCAGCTCCACCTCCTCCACCACCGCCGCCTCCACCTCCGCCACCACCGCCGCCTCCGCTCCCATCGCTACCGCCGCCGCCTCCTCCGCCTCCGCTGCTGCCACTGACACCTCCACCCCCGCCACCACTCCCACCGCCACCCCCACTCCCTCCCCCTCCTCCACCACCACCTCCACCACCTCCGCTAGCTCCACCCGCGCCCTTGCCCCCCTTGCCCTTGCCAGAGCGGCGTCTCGCGCTAGGGGCAGACGCCGCACCGACCGACTCAAGACCAACGAGGTCGGCCGCAGCAGCAGAGGCGACAGAGGGCAGCAGGGGGGAAGGGGAACACCCCTCAAAGATGGGGGTGCGAGGGTCACCACGAGAGGCTCCTACAGCGACTATGCTCTTCTCCGCTGCTAGGAGGGCCTTCTCTAGGAGGTCAACAGTGAGAGTGGTGGGACGGACTGAGAGGAAGTGGTCCCTTACTACGCAAAGGGAGTCAGGGAGGCGGGTGACTATGTAATAGAGAGTGATGTACATGGGGGGGGGGTTCTTGGCGCAGAACTCAGCAGAAAGCGCGGCGCGGTAGCGAGTGTCACTAGTGCGGAGGTGCGTAATGAGGTCAGCGACTGTGGGAAAGGCAGCAAGGTCAGGAAAGAGGTATGGTAGCATGAGGTGGCTCAGTCCAGCAGCGGCAGGGGAGGAGTAGCGCGCAACTACAGCGTCGTACAAGGTCTGAGCACTCTTGTACTGACTAAAGTGCGCGCGCTCAGTGGTAGGCAGGTGGCGACGCACAGCAAGACGTGCAGCAGCATCGCGAGTAGCCCACTGCGAGTGAACAGTGGCGTCAGCATCGGCAGCAGGGGCAGGGGAGGCGCCAGAGGTGAGGTCAAAGAGAGAAAGACCGTCCGCCCTATCGCACTGTAAGAACAGCTGCAGGTCGTCGACCCAGACCTCAAAGTCAATGGCCCGTCCCTCAGCGTCAAAAGCGAGAACGCTGGGAGTGGCCATGACACCAGTAGACAAGCAGTGCTAACAGTAGGGGTGGGGCAGTGCAGTGACAGAAGCTCTGCTCTCACCAGACAGGTTGGTTCGGGCAGCCCGGCAGCAACCGCAGCTCTGCTGCACCCGCGGCTCGACTCCACAGCAGCTCAGGCGGCTCGGGCGGCTCGGGCGGCTCGGGCGGCTTGGGCGGCTCGGCTGCTCAGCTGCGCTGCTGCAGGGCGGTGCGGCGGTCGGTGGCTCGGCTGGATGGGGCGGCTCGGGCGACGGGCGGCGCTGCAGCAGTGGATGGCGGCGGGGCCGCAAGTGAGGGCGGCGGGGTCGGAGGTGAGGGCGGCGACGGGCCGCAGCTAAGGGCGGCGGTGGGGCCGCAGCTGAGGGCGGCAACGAGGCCGCAGATGAGGGCAGCAGGACCGCAGGTGAGGGCGGCGACGGGGCCGCAGGTGAGGGCGGCGGGGCCGCAGATGAGGGCGGCTACAGGGCCGCAGTTGAGGGCGGCAACGGGGCCGCAGGTGAGGGCGGCGACGGGGCCGCAGGTGAGGGCGGCGGGGCCACAGGTGTGGGCGGCGACGGGGCCGCAAGTGAGGGCCGCTCGGGCGATAGGGCCGCTTAGGGTGACGGGGCGGCTCAGGGCCGTTAGGTTACGGGGCCGCTTAGGGCGACGGGGCCGTTTAGGGGATGGGGCCGCTAGGGCGACGGGGCCGCTTAGGGTGACGGGGTCGTTTAGGTGACGGGGCCGCTAGGGCGACGGGGCCGCTTAGGGTGACGGGGCCGTTTAGGCGACGGGGCCGTTTAGGTGACGGGGCCGTGTAGGGTACGGGGCCGCTAGGGTGACGGGGCCGTTTAGGGCGACGGGGCCGTTTAGGTCGACGGGGCCGTTTAGGGGACGGGGCCGCTAAGGGGACGGGGCCGCTAGGGGGACGGGGCCGTTTAGGTCGACGGGGCCGTTTAGGGGACGGGGCCGCTAAGGGGACGGGGCCGCTAGGGCGACGGGGCCGCGAGGGCGGCGCGATCAGCCGCAAGGGCGGCTCGACGAAACGAGAGAGGGGAGCGCGACTCGGGCTGAGCGCGCTCCGGGCAGGAAAAAAAAAACTTTTCGATGTGGTGGGCCCTAGGCACAGTTCCCACTAGGGAACCTGCTCGATACCATGAGAAACTTAGAACGAAATGAATGAACTATGAATGAACTGGGTACAAGTACTAACCCTAATTGGGTTGTACCCCTTATGGGCTACCCCACTATAGCCTACACAATATGCAAAAGCTATATGTTCTGACAGCTTGAGTTTTTTTTTTGGCTGAGATGGGGACAGGAAAGGGGGAACGCGATTGGCGATAAGTGTAAAAAAGGTCATCTATCTCGTGCTTGTCCAGTAAGATTAAGCCCTGCAAGGGACAGTGATATTGTCTATCTCCGGGGATGGCGATATTATGATTTACTTCCCAAAACATTGAGGGTCGCGTACTATACGTATAGGTTTTTTTACATTCATTTTACTCTACATAGCACGAGGGCCAAACAATTCTGGGATGTATGTCCGGGGATGATGATATTATCTATGTCTGGGGTTGGCGATAAGCAAGGGGTACCGTCAGCCCCCGGATAGAAGCGCCCCTGGGGTTATAAAAAAACACTGTTTTTTAGGGGGTGGGCTTATAATTGAGGATTTTTATAAGCGCCGGGGCTTATAAAATGACATATATGAAATCTAGTTTTTTTACACCAAAGTGTTCATCTCGTCCTTGCGATTTGAATCGAATCGATATTGTAGAGGGCTGGAATATGAATCTCGCGTAAATTGGCAGTGGCTGATTCTCTGCCAACACGCACAGTCAGAATGAGTCAGATTGACCCCATGACAGGTCATTCTGACTGGACGCGAAGGCATTGAGTCGCGCGATGGTGAAGGGATTCGAATTTCTGAATGTGGGGATGCAAAAATTGTGTTTCGTTACAGCGTTTCCAGTAAAAATATTAAAAATAATTCAGAGGGTGGCGCTTATAATCCGTAAGCCTTTAGGGGTGCGCTTATAATCGAGGACCGGATATAAGCGCCCTCATCCTTTTATAAGCGCCGGCGCTTATCCGAGGCTTGCGCTTCTATCCGGGGGCTTACGGTACTCATCGATCTCCTCCTGCTCGTCCGACGAGTAGTTTGACCACGACTAACTAGCCCTTCTGACCTCTGTTGAAACCCCCCTGTTCCTGGCGCTTATGCGAAACCTAGTTGCTGTCCCTACTGTTTCAGGAACGACACCGCGTACGACCTCCACTTCCAAGTCGGCATCGCGCTGAAGGACCCCGGCAAGCCGGATTTCGTCGGCGCCAGCAAAGGCGCCGAAGGAACTACCGGAAACGTGGCCCTGTACTTGTCGGATTTCATCGTGACGTGGACGAACACCACGGGGACTGCCATGGCGGGTCGGCGCTACGGCGGGAAGAATAAGGGCCGGGGTTGGGGAGGAAGCTTGTTCCGGGGCCGAAACCACTCTCTGGGGGACTTGTACTCGTATTACACTAGGGGAGTCTTTCGCGACGCGTCGTCGCTCACCAATGCCGACGGCAACACGTACTTGGCCGCGATGCAGGACCTTCTGAACTCGCCCGCGTCGTACTATGGGATCGTTAAGACTGGAGCGTATGGCGATGGCACGGCACGGGGGCAGTTCAGGAAAGGGCCTAAGAGATGGGGCGTGTGGTGGAAACGGGGTTTCTGCTTCAAGTGTGTCTGATTTGTATCGGAGTTGTGTTGTTATAGGTGGGTTCCTTCTAGACGAAAAAGGTTAAAGGACACATCCAGAATTACCGTGTCGGCCCGAAAACTGTCACAACTTTCACGTGATTGGTCGAAGGTTTTGAGCGGGTTTTTGACGCAATTGGTTCTCGATTTTCCCACCGAACCTCCTTTTGGGGTTTTCCGAACCTACAATTTTTTCATTGACTTCGTTGTGTAATTTGGGGTGTGGCCTTTAAGGTGGCTGTTTTATATTCATTAAACAGTACCGCGTTAGCGCTTGTCCTCCGTTTCCGTGGAGCGGACTTGTACAAACTTTGTGATCACGTTACCTGTATGAGAAATTTAAATCATGCCCTCTATATTGTTTAAAAAGTTATAAATCTTGTATATCTTTAGATGCACCAATTCGATAAGCACTAAATCAAAACTGCACTTCGCAATTTCCATATAGAGGCCTCCTTTCTGGTTGGTACGTAGCTAACATGGGCAGTACCGTGTATGTCTGTCAATTGCGATAAACATATTCAGACAATACCGTATGCTATATCCAGAAAATTCACTCGGCTACAGAGAAAACAATGGGGCCAATCCTTGACGAAAACATCTTGCTCAAAGCAACCTGAATCTCTGGCGATCCATGCTCGCTGCTTACCAAATCCGCCAGCAACGGGAAGAATCGCGCCAGGTGCTTCTTAAACGCTGCGTCCTTCAATGCAGTAACCGCCTGAAGTGTAGCCACCACCAGCGGCGCCCGAGCCACCAGCTCCCGACGCCGAGCCGAGCCGAGAGGTACGGCGAGAGGTATGGGAGGGAGGGGCGGGGCGTCTGCACCTCTTGGGTCTTCAGTCATGAGTGCGAGCTTGCCCTGAGACGTTCCCACATACACCTGGAGAGTGAAGGGAGATAGGGTGAAAACAGAGGGGGGGAAGGGGGATCATTGGATAGGAGACACGCTGGGATTAGTCCTCAAAGTGAACATGAACAGTGTCGATGGGGGAAGGAAGGCAACAGGGGGAGGAGGAGAGGGCGGAATGGGAGGGGGGAGAGGCGGGGAAGAAGGGAGGGAAATGGGTACCTGAGACTCCAGTGCCTCACTCTCCAGCCTCAGCAGCAGCGGATCGGGCATCTGAGTGGCCACATGGAGTGCTTGCAGGCATGGAGTCTACCTACATACTACGCACAGAACAACCCCCTAAGGAAGAGAAAGGAGAGAAGGAGAGAGAGGAACGTACACGAAGGACTTCTTCACAGAGGATGACGAGCCTGAGCTCACCTCCTTGGCTAGCCGAGCTTTCTCCCGTGGCAGGCGCTGCAGCAGGCTGAGGTACGCGTGCAGTGCCTCACTCTCTAACCTACCTTCCCCGCATAAAATGATACCACCCTTCTGGAGAAAGAAACAAGGAAGCATGTACCCGGAGAACCTTTTTTGCAGGGGATGACAAGCCGGAGCACTCACCCGGAGAACCTCTTCACAGAGAATCACCAGCCGGAGCTCCACATCCACTTCCTTGGCCAGCTGCGCCTTCTCCCGTGGCAGGCGCTGCAACAAGCTGAGGTACGCATGGAGGGCCTCACTCTCTAGCCTCAGCAGCGGCGGATCGGGCATCTGCGTCGCCAGGTGGAGGGCTTGCAGGCGCGAGCGCAGCAGGCGGTCTGAGTTGATGGCGTGGGCGTGCGTGCCGACTCGGTGGAGCGAGTCGAGGAGGATGAGGGTGTGCGGGGCGGAGAGGGCCGCTCCGTGCATGCTGAATATCTCCGTCATTGCCTGGATGGTTGTTGGGGAGTGGTGGGGGAAAACGAGATGGGGGGGGAGAATCGAAGGTGGGAGCTAAGGAATGGTTTGCATATGCATTCTTCAAGGCAGCAGCCTGAGTGACAGCAGTGGCACACAGTAATTAAAAGGCTTACCTACACACAGTATGCAGAGAGCTTACTTGCACGAGCAGCCACGTGTTTGAAGTAGTGTTTTGAGACGTCTCAAAAGTGACAGCAGTGGCACACAGTAATCAAAAGACTCACCTACACACAGTGCACAGTATGCAACGTGCTCACCTGCACCAGCAGCAGCACCTGATAAACAGAGAGCTCACCTGCACCAGCAACAGCTGCACTGCAATCTTGCACCGCACATCCGCCACAGCTTCTGCCAAGGTCATCGGCCTCTTAACTTCCACTCCCTCCTCCTCTCCCCCATCCACACCACCACCACCTGCAGCAGCACCGACTGCCTCTGCAACCGCTGCAGCCAGCTGTTGATGCTGCTGCTTCTGCTCCTCCTCGTCCTCATCCCTCGTGAAATCAAACCTCCTGGCTTCCTTAATCTGCTGCTGCCGCTCCATCTCCCTCTCCTCCTCGTCCTCCAAATCTGCAGCCTTCACCACCCCAGCCAGGTCAGGAAGGGTCGTCCCTGTTGTTTCCTTAAGTGCTGTCAGCACCTCATCCCACTTCTCCTCGGAAAACAGACCTCCAGCGTTGCTCATGAGCCTCACAAACGCCGCCACGCCAATCGCTGCTAGGCTCTGGTGCGGCCGGCGAATAAATGACGTCAGGAGCGCGAGAATCTTCCCTAGAAGCGGGCTCACTTTACTGTAAAACTTCACAAAGAGATCCACTACGAGCTGAAGCGCTAAAGTGCAGGTTTCATACAGCCATGCATCCATCTCGAGTTCGGATGCCGGATCGGGACTGCCGCTTCTCGCCGCCCGGAGCCGCTCGTCTTCTGACGTGGACGGGTGGCGGGAGAGCGGCGCGCCCTTGTGATGCGAGTGCTTGTGAATCGGCACGTCCACTCCTCCTCCTGCTCCCTCTCCCCCTCTCCCTCCTCCAAGCACCCCTCCCGCCTCTCCCTTCCCTCCTTTACCTCCTCCTCCTCCTTCCCCTCCTCCTCCTCCCCTGCCTCCTCTCTTGGCTCCGAGCATCATCCCACCGGGCTCGCCGTGCTGGGGTTCGGAGGCCCGGCGAACATAATCAAAGATGGGGAAGAGGACGGACTCGAAGACGCGCTCCCAGAGGGCGGCGGAGAACATGTGGCCGTGGAAGCGGAGGGTGTCGAAGAGGACCTCTAAGGCACTCTTGCGGATGTCTGGCCGCGGGTCAAAGGTCAGCTCGGACAGACCTGATGGTGAGTAGGGGGAAAAGGAGGGGGCAAAAAAGAGGCGGGAAGGTGGGAAGGAAGTTATTGTGAGGCATGCTAAAAGTACCTCCCGGGCACTCTTTCCAATGCCTGCCAGGCCAGGGATCAAAGGTGCGCTCGGACAGACCCGATGGTGGATAAGAGGAGAGGGGGGGGGAACGATGGAGCGAGGGAGTGAAGGAACGAGGGGCGGAATTCATCGCCTCACCAAGGTCACACAACGCATTCCGAATTTACTCAATAGGTAACCACTCACCAGCAAGGAGGTTGATCCAAAAGAAAAGGTGAACGTCCTTGTCAAAAAAAAACCCTTCCCTAGCCGAATTCCCTGGCAGGTGTTCTTTAGATCAACTGCGCTTTTTCCTCACAGAGACCCCCCTGTGCTCTTGGAGTCGACTCAGTAGGCACTCACCAGCAAGAAGAGGGAAACCAGAAGAAGAGGTGATCGTCCTTATCGGTAAACTCCTCCCCATCCAGATGCCCTGGCAGGTGCGACACCTTCGAGGAACTCAGCCCATACTCCCTCTCCAGTGCACTCGCCCCCAGATCCCCCATCAAGTGCGTTTTGAGTTGACTCAAAACTCATCTCCCCACCAACGTACACACCACACAATCCCAATCTACTCAACAAAACACGCACTCACCAGCAAGTAGCGGGAACCAGAAGTAGAGGTGATCATCTTTGTCGGTAAACTCCTCCCCATCCGGGTGCCCCGGCAGGTGTGACACCTGAGAGGGACTCAGCCCCTTCTCCCTCTCCAGTGCACTCGCCCCCAGATCCCCCTCGGCGAGTTTCAGTGCGCAGAATCGCAGGAAGGCTATGGCGTTAAGGGAGACGTCTTTATTGAAGCGCGAGTTGGTGAACGCAATGAGGCAGTTGACGCAGTCGGTGAAGGTGGTGGTCTCGGTTTCGGTGATGTAGGGGAAGTACTCCCGCACGACCTTCTCAATTGTCTCGAAGGCGAGAAGGACGATGTTCTTGTTGTCGTCCGTGGCTGCTGTGGTGAACACCTGTAGTTAGGGAAGGTGGCGACACGAGGAGGGGGGAGAGTAGAACAGTTGTAAGATGTGGTGATGTAGGGGAAGTACTCCCGCACAACCTTCTCAATTGTCTCGAAAGCGAGAAGGACGATGTTCTTATTGTCGTCGGTTGCTGCTGTGGTGAACACCTGAATGGGGAGACAGACGGGCGCGAGAAGGGGAGAGAGTAGAACAACAGTAAGAAAGGTACAAAGATGTTGGGGAAGTACTCCCACACGACCTTCTCTATTGTCTCGAATGCGAGGAGGACGATGTTCTTGTTGTCGTCCGTTGCTGCTGTGGTGAACACCTGAATGGGGAGACAGACGGTGGAGAGGAGGGGGGAGAGTAGATAAGTGGTAAGATGTCAAAAAGTAGGGATAGTACCCTCGCACGACCTTTTTGATTGTCTCGAATGCGAGAAGGACAATGTTCTAGTTGTCATCGGTGGCTGCTGTGTTGAACTCCTGAATGGGGAGAGGAGGAGCGTGAGGAAGGGATAAGGACATCAAGCTGTGAGACATCTCAAGGAACCAATGCCCATTTCATCAATCTAAACCTGTGTGTAGTGTGGCGATTGTTGAGGTGCCTCAAATATCGCATCACTAGCTGTGGAACATCTCAAGGAGCCGATGCTCATTTCATCATTCTAAACCTGATTTTCCACCAAAGCTTTACAATCAACCCTCACCCTAGCCTCCCCAACCCGCCCCACCACATTCAGCATCCATCCATACAAGCTGTTAGAAACAAAAGTGTTGGTTTGAATCGAAAGATTGTGGGTACATATAGGAGATGAAAAGTATGGGAAACTAGGTTGGGTACCCGCGACATTATTGGTGAGCCAATGGGAGTGGCCACCAATAATGTTTTGGAGGTGACCGCCAATTATTGGGGGGGGGGGGGGGCAATAATGGTTGGAACGAACCAACCAATGTTGGTTCCCCCGCCAATTGCGGTTGAGTGGGGTTGGGGTGCACCCAACCAAAACTGGTTGGGTCGCCTTGGCCCAAAGTGTACACCCACGTTTGGGTGTTACACTTGCACATTTACAACCCAACTGATGCTATAATCTAACACAAGCTGCAGAATCCCCTTCCCTGCCCCTTTCGCGAATCCTCATGCTGGCTGTCCGTCGCATCACCACCACAAACAGCTTCAAGTCGACTCAAAAGCCACTGTTATGACTCCTCTCCCCTGTTCCCCTCCCCCTTGACTCACTATGAACATGATTCTCCACCTTGACTTAACATCCCCACGCAGGAAACCACCATCTGAGCCAACTCAAAACTCGGTTTTTTCCCTGTCCCCTCTATCCACCCCCTTTCCGACTCACCATGAACATGATTTTCCAGCCGGACTTGACGTTCCCCACGCGCGCAAACACCATCTGCGACACGCAGCGAATAATCAGCTCCCGGATCTCCACGCTCGCAGTGCGCCTCATCACAACCACAAACGGCTTGAGGAACTCGTTCTGGAAGTTGTAGTTGCTCAGCTCCTCGCGCTCCAGGAACTTCATGGCCAGCTGGCGCAGGCTGTCAATGGCATACATGGCCACTGAGAGGTTGGGCATGCATCCCACCGTCACGAAGTAGTCTGCCAGCACAGCCCAGATTCGCGACCAGACGAGCCGAATGCGGCTCATGTTGAAGTGGCTGCATCGGGGAACAAGGAGCGAGAAATTGGGAGGGAGGCGGGGGGTGGGGGTGGGGGTGGGGTGGGGTGGGGGTGGGGTGGGGTGGGGTGGGGTGGGGTGGGGGCTAAGGGAACTCGTTCTGGAAGTTGTAGTTGCTCAGCTCCTCTCGCTCGAGGAACTTCATCGCGAGCTGGCGCAGGCTGTCTATCGCCTGCCGATTGAGGTATTGTCTCTTCTAAGGTGCATTCAAGGCGGGGAAAGCTTACGCAATCTCGACAATCTTGGTCAGGGAGAAGACTCTCGGTTCCGTGGGCGAGCGCAGCTCCTCCAGAGACACCTTGCAGAGGGCTTTCACGAACTCCACTATCTCCTGCCCGTTGAGGTATTGTCTCTTCTAAGGTGCATTCAAGGGGGGGGGGGGGGGGGGGGGGGGGGGGGGGGGGGGGGGGGGGGGAAGCTTACGCAATCTCGACGATCTTGGTCAGAGAGAAGACTCTGGGCTCCGTGGGCGAGCGCAGCTCCTCCAGAGAAACCTTGCAGAGGGCTTTCACGAACTCCACGATCGCCTGCCCGTTGAGGCGCTCGCTGCGGGAGAAGAGTCGCGATACCTCGTCCCGATCCCACCTGCTCCAGCAGACCCAGGTTAGCCACCAGCAGCTGCACCTGTAGTTGTGCAGGTGATGAACAGGAATGTTGGAAGGGGGAACGAAGTTAGGATGTGGACACATGGTTCAATAGAGAGGCCTGATCTCATCCGACCCCACCTGCTCCAGCAGACACAGGTTAGCCACCAGCAGCTGCACCTGTAGTTGTGCACGTGATGAAGAGGAATGTTGGAAGGGGGAACGAATTTGGGATGTGGACACATGGTTCAATAGAGAGGCCTGATCTCATCCGACCCCACCTGCTCCAGCAGACACAGGTTAGCCACCAGCAGCTGCACCTGTAGTTGTGCACGTGATGAAGAGGAATGTTGGAAGGGGGAACGAAGTTAGGATGTGGACACATGGTTCAATAGAGAGGCTGATCTCATCCGACCCCACCTGCTCCAGCAGACACAGGTTAGCCACCAGCAGCTGCACCTGTAGTGGTGCAAGTGATAAAACGGGGGACACGAGAGAAGGTGGAGCGGGGTTGGGAAAAGGGACACATGTTTAGAGAGAGACCTCGTCTGACCCCCACCGGCTCCAGCAGACCCAGGTTAGCCACCAGCAGCTGGACCTGTGATTCACAAAGATGGACGGGAATGTTGCAAAGGGGAATGGAGTTGGGATAGGGAAACACAAGGTTAGATAGAGAGACCTCGTCCGACCCGCTTGCTCCAGCAGACACAGGTTAGCCACCAGCAGCTGCACCTGTGATTCAGAGAGTAGGGGGGGAGGGGGAGTGTGGAAGAGGGAGTGACGCTAGAAAGATGCATATATTGCCAGAGAGAGAAAGCAACCTCGTTTGACCCCACCTGCTCCAGTAGGCCTAGGATAGGGACCAACAGCTGCACCTGTGATTCAAAGGACCGGAGGGGAAATGAGGAAAGAAGAATTGGGGACAGAGAAGGGGGCATATGGCATCTCACATAATCTATCCCTGTAGGCCCTACTTGTTAGAAATAGGCTGTCAACACTTTGTGTACTCTATTTTTATATGCTGTAGGTCATTTGTGGGTTGGGTGTAGATTTGTAATCCCAACCCTATCTGGTTAAGATTCCCTCGTAATCCAACAAGTCTGCTAACTCACCATTGAAAATTTGCTTGGAATTCCCATCCCATCCTTTCCCTAGCTTTGCTCAACTCAACCATCTTTGTGCTTAAAGGCCTAGTGCCTTCTATTGTAATCAATCAGTTCAGCTCCATTTCTATCACTGCTATCTGGCAGGAGTATTGAGAGGGGGAAACAGTTCGTGCCGTATCTCAAGGCACTGTAGCCCTGCTATCTGGCAGCACAGGGGACTGACTGAGGGAGCGACACGAAAGAGAAATTCATCTGTTCCCATCTTCCCACCCCTGTGAATGCAACATACATCTCCCACGGACTAGCCCCATCTGGCTTCTCTCTAAAAGCACTGACCCTGGTCGGGGGAGAGGTGCGAGAGGGACACGCCCACGCCCACCCCTGTGGGTCCTCCGGCGATCATCCCCTGTGGGTCGTATGACCCTCGCCTCACTAGCTTCTCCACCTGGTGCAGCTTCCCAGTTACCTGGGGGCATTAAAAAGGAGGGGAGGGAGGGAGAGGGCAGGCAAGCAGGGAGCGGTGGGGAGACCACGTCACATAACAGGGCACACACATCGCACGATTTTTTAAGCGCCCCAAAAGCCATAAACAGGGCACACACATTGCGAGTCATGCAGGAAACTCATGTTGCGATCACTTCCACTCACATTCTTCCAGGCAGGAGCCTCGCCTCCCTCGCCAAACCCTCTTTGCCTGCCCCCGCGGCGTTCCCAGCGTCCCCGCACCTCCCCCGCGGCGTCCCAGCATCCCTCTGCCCCCCCCAACCACCCCACGCCCCTCCCCGCCCCCCATACACCGACGCTGCCACCCCCCTCCCTCCGCCCCTCTTCCCCCTGGGGATCCAGCGGCTGCGGGCGCTGCTGCTGGTGTGAGCGGGGGGAGACTCGGCGCGGCGGAGAAGAAGTGGGAGTCGGTGGGGGGCGCCCTCGCCGATGAGGTGGAGGTGCTCGTAGCGCGACCACGCACGTGAGCCGTGCTCCCACGCGTCCTGCAGGTAGTTGCCATCGTCCTCCGCTACTAGCAGCAGGCTCTGTATGGAGGGGAATGAGTGTGGTGGGGGGTTGGGAAGGAGTGCAGAAAGGGGAGGGACGAAGTGGAAGGGATGAGAGGGCGAAGGTTGGGGGAGGGTGGTGTTTGAGAGAGTGGGGAGCTGCAGCTCGGCAGAGAAGAAGTGGGAGGTCGGTGGGGGCGCCCTCGCCGATGAGGTGGAGGTGCTCGTAGCATGACCACACACGTGAGCCAAGCTCCCACGCATCCTGCAGGTAGTTGCCATCGTCCTCTGCTACCAGCAGCAGGCTCTGTATGGAGGGGAATGAGTGTGGGTGGGAGTGCAGAAAGGGGAGGGACGACAGTGGAAGGATGAGAGGGCGAAGGTTGGGGGAGGGTGGTGTTTGAGAGAGTGGGGAGCTGCGGCGCGGCGGAGAAGAAGTGGGAGTCGGTGGGGGCGCCCTCGCCGATGAGGTGGAGGTGCTCGTAGCGCGACACGCACGTGAGCACGTGCTCCCACGCGTTCCTGCAGGTAGTTGCCATCGTCCTCTGCTACCAGCAGGAGAGACTGGGTGTAGGGAATGGGTCGGGGGAGGAGCGCTAAAGGGGGAAGGGCGAGGGGGGAAAAGATGCGGCGGAAAGCGGGAGGTGAATGGGGTGGTTGGAGGTGACACACCCACCATCCACCCCCCACCTTGATGGCGTCCAAATTCTTCTGCTTGAGGTCTGCTGAAATTTGCATATGTACAACGCAGGTCTGCTCATATTACACTTGACCAAGCCCACTCACCCAACCGTCCACCCACCCACTCACCTCACCCACCCACCTGATACACATCCACCCATCACGCACCTTGATGGCGTCCACGTTCTTCTGCTTGATGTCTGCTGCGGAGTGCAGCGACGTGAACTTGGCCAGCGACGTCACAAACGCATCGCGTTGCATCTGGTGGGGCAGGCAGAAAGGCGGTGAAAAAAGGAAAGGAGGTTGATGAGGAGTAGATAGGAGACCTTTCAGTTGACTCACAAGTTAAATTTCATACTGTCCCCACATGCACAAGGTGTGCTTTGCCACACCCCCACAGTCCAATGCCCCTCACATGGCCCAGCCTAACACACTATCCCTCACATGCTGCTCATATGGCCCCTCAAGTGACCCTCACGTGCATGCCGAGAACAGCAGAGACATGCACGGCGTTGCCCCTCCAGGATCTGACTGCTCTGTCGCAGCCTCCTCACTCGTCACCGCATGCCCGTGCCACATGCCCCATAGCATCCCTTCCCTCACATTCCCCCGCACATGCCCCATAGCATCCCTTCCCTCACATTCCCCCGCACATGCCCCTCACCTGCATGCGATCACAGCAGTGACATGCACGGCGTATCGGAACCCCTCCAGGCACTGCTCCGTGACAGCCTCCTCATCCATGCATGCCCATACCACACTGACTCTCACCATCCCTTCCCTCACATGTCACTTACGTGCATGCGAATTCACAGCAGTGACGTGCACGGCGTATCGGAAACCCCTCCAGGCACTGCTCCGTGACAGCATCCTCCTCCGTGGTCTCCAGGGGCACGGAGAACGCGGCTAGCATGGGCGCCCACACCACGTCAACCATGGGGCGGATGATCTGCACGTCTGAGGCGGCGTAAAACACCGACCTGAGGGAGAGGGTGGGCAAGTCAAGGGAGAAGGGCGAGGAAACGTGCACAGAATGAATGACACTGTTGCTAGCATGGGCGCCCCACACCACGTCGACCATGGGGCGGATGATCTGCACGTCTGAGGCAGCATAGAACACCGATCTGGAAAATTCTAGATAAGGGAGGGCACAACGAAGCAGGAGGATGCTTGTCGGGGGCTGAGATGCAGGATGGAGAGGTGAAGCAAGAAAAAAAGTGAAAACTGCATTCAGGTATCCCCGTATTGCTGCTCACCATGACCTCCTCCAGTGGCTGCTCACCCTGACTGCTCCCCATTGTTGCTCACCTGACTTGCCCGCCTTGGCAAGGAACTGCTGCTGCATGTGCTTCACCACCTCGTCGCTCGTTCTCCCAACCTTGCTGCTGCTGGAAACATACCCACGCTTACCTACTGACCTTCTCACACACTGACGCTCCACCCTGACTTGCCCGCCTTGGCACGGAAACTGCTCCTGCATGTGCTTCACCACCTCATCACTCGTCTCCAGGCTCCGTGGTGGCTCTCGTGCGTCCCGACATGAGGTTCAGAATGCTCTCCGGCCCCAGCAGCGCGTTGCCCGCTGCGCTGCTCACTGCTGCAGCCTTTGAGCACCACTTGCCCTGACCTGATTCCCCCTCTTACTGAGCTCACCCTGACCTTCCCCACACTGCCGCTCACCCTGACCTTCCCCCATTGCTGCTCACCCTGACTTGCCCGCCTTGGCACGGAACTGCTCCTGCATGTGCTTCACCACCTCATCACTTGTCTCCAGCTCCGTGGTGGCCCTCGTGCGTCCCGACATGAGGTTCAGAATGCTCTCCAGCCCCAGCAGCGCGTTTGCCCGCCGCACTGCTCACTGCAGCCTTGGACACCACTCCTCCGGGCCCCAGGCTCTCCGGCTTCATCTTGATCTCGTTCCGTGTGATGCGGTCGTACAGCCCGCCCAGAAACTCCTCTGGTATGTCCTTCCCGTCGTCGATTCCACGGTTGTTCTTCAGGAAGTCGGCTTCTACTCATCTGGGAAGGGAGGAAGCAGGATGTATGGGTGGGAAGGGGGTGCATGGAAGAGGAGGAGGCGTGGAAGGGAAGGGAGGGTGGAAGAGAAGGACGCCTGGTTGTGTTGGGTGGTCTGTGTTGAGCATGAAGCTTGAGTGCGAGAGACTAAGCAAGCAGTAACGCCGTATCCGCCTCTGTGACAGCTTTTTGAGGGGCTACATCGATCATATCATCACATGCTCTCACCTTGGTCTTGACGCCAGGGTTATGCGCATCCGCTGTTGAGCATAATCACAGAGTAAGCGAGCACGTAGGCAGTATCGGCGCTGGTGAACGCCCTTGGGGGTTGCAGCGGCAGTAGCGCTCAGCAAACTTCTCCATGATTGCGATCAATCTTCTGCGCCTCGCCTGGCAGCCTGAACCCCAGCAGCACTGCTCGAATGGCCTCGTCAAAGTCCATTCCCTGGGGGAAAGGGGAGTGGGGGTAAGTGTTGGAGGGAGGAAATGGGAGAGGGGAGAGGGAGGTGTTAGTGAGTGGCACTTGAGATGACTGCAGCCCAGCAGCATAGCCACCAGGAGCCTTGTCAAAGCCTAGAGGGCAGTAGCGCTCAGCAAACTTCTCCATGATGCGATCAATCTTCTGCGCCTCGCCCTGGCAGCCTGAACCCCAGCAGCACTGCTCGAATGGCCTCGTCAAAGTCCATTCCCTGGCGAGGCAATGGGGGTAATTGGGTAGACGGCAGAGGGAGGGGGACAGGGGACAGGGGAGAGGGAGAGGGGAGAGGAGGAGAGGGGAGAAGGGATAGAGGAGAGAGGGGAGAGGGGAGAGGGGAGGAGGGGAGAGGGGAGAGGGGAGAGGGGAGAGAGGGAGAGGGGAGAGGAGAGAGGGGAGAGTGGAGAAGGGAGAGAGGGGAGAGGAGAGAGGGGAGAAGGGAGAGGAGAGAGAGGAGAGGAGAGTTTACACATCTTCATGTTGAATGTATCGCGCACCTGCATATGACCTTAATGCATCCCACACTCCCACTAGCAGAGTGCAACCTACTGTTTGGGAAAAGATGCCGTTTATGCCACTTACAGAGAGGTTGTATGAGTCCATGTAGGCATGCATGATCTTGATGCTCATGTCGTCCCTGTCCCCTAGGAAATCTCCAATCATGGTCTTATCCAGCCCCTCTGTTTGCGCAGAAACGCAACTATCTCCTCCGCACCCTCGCCCAGTTTCTTCGCCTTGATCAGAAAATCTATCCCCTTTTTGGCTTCTTGTTGAACAGGTTTATCCCCTCCTGCAGCTCCAGCTTATAAGCCCGCCTCTGCTCCAGAATTGAAGCCTCTGAAATCTCATTTCCACTGCCTCACCCCAGCCGGCAGGCATCCCCCCAAGCGCCTCCTCCTCCAAAGCCTCCTCTGACTTCGCAACAGGCAACACCCCAGTCCTGGGATTCACAAAATCCGGCAGCAGATCCCCTGACAGAAGATCCGGAACAGCCACAGGAGCCGCCCCTTCCCCTGCCGCCGCACGCCCGCAGCCGCTGCTGCTGTTGCCGCTGCCGACGCGGCTGCCGCTGCAGCAGCAGCGCCGATTTCCGCGGCGACCTTGGGGCCTGCGGTTGACGCAGAGCTGCGGTTGGTCCAGGAGCCCATGGAGCGCAGCACCCCCACCATGCACTTGATGGCGGCCAGGCGCAGCTGCTGTCCTGGGCGCGTTCAGCGTTGAGTCCGCGCCGGGCGGAACTCCCTTGTGCTGTCTTGAGCAGCCCGCTCACCATCCTGGGAGAAGGTTGAACCGTACAAGAGAGGGTGGGGGATGAAGATGAAAAGAAGGGAGTAGTTGATGGGAGCTCGAGTGCACGAGATGTGTGAGGAGGATCATTGCTGATGGGGATGCAACACGGGAGGTAGGGGAATGGAGGAATGAGGGGCTAGGCGACTCTGAATCTACGTGAATTCGATTCTACCCTTAATCTGCTTCTACCCAGCTCACCGTTCGAAGATGCTGGACAGTGGACTCACGTCGCAGTCATAGTTGGCAAAGATATCCACCAGAATCTGCGGATCCACGCAGAGCCTCTCCAGGAACCTCAGCACGATCATCTTCTGCTGGAAATTGGACGTGGGCAACGTTTTTCCAGCACGCGCAGCACGATCATGGGGAAGAAGACGCCGATTTCGGCCTTGAGGACGGAGCGGAAGCGCGCTGAGGAGGGAGAAGAAGATGGAGCAGGAGAGCTGGAAGACGGACATGAGCGAAGGACGTGCAGTTCTTGAGCAGCGACAGGCACAGGTACTGCTTCACTGCGCCACGAACCTGGTGGAAGGGAGGGCTTGAAAGCGGGAGCCGAGCGTGAACGAGGGGGTTGAGGGGAAGGGTTGAGGGGCAAGAGCACGTGACGCGTAACTTGAACAGTGGGGTTGGGGTGTTCAGGTTGCATCATAACATGCCCTGCCACGGGCACTTCCTCACTGCCCCTTCAGACTTGTCGCAAAGGTGTGACAGCAGGGGACAAAGATGATGGGGGGGTGTGTGGGAGGATTCCTTCTCGTTTTCAATGCCCACCCCTATTTGAACTCTCATTCGAAAACGCCACATTCAACTTATCTCTCGGAAGATGCGATTAAATGGCTTTGGGAAAAGTACGAGCCTCCCTTTGTACCCAACATGGCTCACCTCTCGTTGGTGCGAAAGACAGCGCCAGAATTCTCAAGGCAGATTTTCAGCAGCTCCAGCGAGACCACCTTGCCGCGCACAGCGAACGGATCCACCACCCCCTCCGCCGGGGGGAGCCTTCATAGACAGCTTGCACAGCGCGCGGAACACCAGGAACGCATCGCGCCGCAGCTTGTTCGTTATCTTCACCTCAGCCTCGCCCTCCTTCTCCGGATCCACGTCAGGAATGATCACTCCGCCTCCCGCCATGGTTCCCACGGGATTTCCGGCGCCATTTGCGCTAGAACCAACAGGAACAGTGGCCACGGCGCCTGGCGGAAGCCCTATAGCGGCAGTCGCGCCGGCTTTCACGGTTACTACTTTCCCGTCTACGCCTAAAGTCTTGGCTGGGTCGGTAACTGAACCTGCAAGCATGTTCACGTCCCAGTACTTAACGTCTAGCATATCCTTATCTTCGACTAGGCTTCCGTCGGTGGCTGCCGAGTTGATGGGTGCTACTGCGAGATCAAACGCGCCATCGTCGAGAGATTGAGTATGCGCCGGGTTAAAAGCGACCTCGATATCCTGCACTACCTTGGTAATGAACGGACTGAACGAACTGCGTTACATTCTGGTCCGACGCTAGCCTATCCGAGGGCTCCATTAAATCCGCGACCACGATTGGCTGAACCGGAACTGTCGACGAATCCGCTGCCATCCTCCGAAATACTATAACGAGCATCTGCGTGAGGGACGCCTTGGCTGTGGTTTGATTAACGGGGACCTTACTACCGAGGTAAATGTTGTAGCAGGTGCGGACAGCCTTAAGTACGCACTCGCCCGTTGAACGCGGAGGGAGGTGGATGTGACAGCAGATAGCATAGTCTTCAGGACTAGTAGCTTCCACTGCTTCGTCTGCTATATCGTAGCACTTGCACACGGATTCCATGACCTGCACACGAAGGAACGGACACATTCAACCATTCATGAATGTATGCATTCAGAGCGCACAGATAGGGAATTCGCGATGAAGCTTGTGTGATCTCGCAGATTTACAGCCATCGCAGATGTCCGCATCAATTCGAGGTGAGCTACCTCATTAGGTCTAGTGTAAATACTCCCTCACGATCTGCGATCGATACTCTCCATTGCTGGACATTACTCCATCAGAAGCTACCCTTGCAAGGAACCTACCTTCCTGCTCACCTCCCGTCTACTTCCTGTTCTCTCTTAAGCAACGTACCCGCGTCAGCAGCTTGCTTTCACGCGTGGTCCCTCCAACGTCCATCTCTCCCATCAAATGCTGATGCGCAACCATCTTCTGGAGGCAATCCAGCGTCGGCTCGACCACCTTCGCCGCGAGCGTCTCGCACGCCGTATGAAGCGGGCCATGATAAACTCCGCATCCTTAATCGTCAACACCCGGTTACCATCGTCGAACAATCCAGCCGGAAACGCTGCGCCAGAAGATCCCTCCCCGTGAAGCGGATTCGTCAAAGGGATTGACGTAGCCAGGCGGGTCCTGAGCGGAGGTGCCATTCACGCCTGGGTTGGGATTCTTCGCGAACCATTCTATCAGGCCCTTGCAGTCTTGTACGAGCCTCTGGTGTTTCCGCCATGACGCGTTTCTGATGATTTTCTCAAGTGTGGGGGACGACTAGCTTGGCCAGCCGACCGGGTTCAGTCTGCGGTGGCTGTGGCGTCGCCATGTGTAAGGCGATTAGTCACGGTACCAGGCGAGAGGGGAAACAGATATACACCTAGCAATGTGACAGAAACACGAGGTCGGCGGGAATCGTGATGCCTGATAGCAACTGAATCTGAAACGAGATTGATTTTAGGTTAGTGAACGAGACTCCGCGACAGCACGAAAGCAGTGTGCGATCAAGCATTCGAGCCGACCTTGTTCAGGCTAAGAAAATCTACGGAGCCTGACGAGACCAATCCATAGCAAGCCTCTGAGCACCCCTAGAACACACAAACCACCAAGGACTTCACGAATCTGTGAAGGATGCAAATATTTTGATGATGAATGGATTTTCCTGCCAACCTCCCCTCCGCCGCACTATGGCAGGTCGCCTGAAAACATCTGTGTCAGGGAATGCAGCTCACGTCGTACCTGGGATTGGCCGGGTGAAGTCATCGCACCAACGGCTACTCCTAGCGTTGGGTTGTGCAATGAACCATCGGGATGTGCGCGTGGTCAAACCCGCCAACCTCGAGGGCACCAGCGCCCAGCGCACCAAGCCTGGAAAGATGCGCGCGGGATGTGCGAAAACGAAGGGAAACCTGGTGGCCTCGGTTTGAGTGGCAGATCCCACTGACATTTGTGAATCTCTGGCGGACTTCGTCACTGTAACAATCTCAAAACTCTCTCAAACCAATGGATAAGAATGATTCCTACTTCATTTAAGAATGATAAGAAAGGTTTTAAGAGCTGACATGAACTAATAACTTGACTGGATCAGGCATCCTCCACTGGTTGTACACAATAGAACCTTTATACAAGTGAACGTAAGCCTCTGCCAGGCACAAACGCTCACATCAGCCTGGTTGACTAGAGCCTTGCTTAAGTTCTTGACACTCAGATTCAAGAGAGGCATATTCAGCTTCTAACTTGGCCGTCAGTGTGGCAACCTGCCCACACACACAGACAGATGCAAGTGAAAAGGAATAGAGTCAATGCGACTGCATAAATAACATGGAATAGAAGTGCTATGTGATGTGTTGGTTTGTAACAAGGTTACTGCTGAGCTGTCCCGAAGCCAGTGCACTTCACCCCCAACTGCTTCATGGCAGCAGCACGTGGCAGGTAGCCCTTGAGCATTTCCAATATGGCAGAAACGTCTGATGACAGGATTACCTGCTTCCTTGCAGCAGCTATGGCAGTCAGCTCTTGTTCGTCTGAGAACTGCAGAAACCACTGCGACAACGGATGGTCTAGAGTGTCCCCTCTATTCTCTCCTCGCAAATCTGATTCCAAGTTACGTGCATCTGCAGGGGCCGAACTGGAGCCATCTGCACAAAGATGCGCAGAAAAAAAGTGGATTATGAATTAAAGCAGGGAAAGTCTCAAATTCTGTCACAAGCCACAACCTCCAGATGTTTAGAAATTCACTGAAAAGAAAAGGGCTCAAGCATGAAACATCAAATATATTTTTTTCCTGGACATTAGTCAGTTGTGTAAGCATTTGAGATTGTGATCTCTACCTTGTGGTATCGCTGCGTGGTTGCCAGCGGCAGTGATGGCCTCCTCACTGCCGTGAATCCGTACCATGGGGTTGGAGCGGATGCGATGGAAGAACGCGATCTGGAGACACGCATAAAGTGGTTATTAGATACAAATTGTGAGCCACAGTTACAAGAAATAGCTTTTGAGGCGCCTGAAAAAAAAAAAACCAGAAATTCAAACAAAAGTTGTTGCCAGAAACACAGTTTGTGAACCACAGTTATAAAAGGAACGGTATCTGAGATGACTGGATAAAACACATGTGAACAAGACCTGCTGCCCACCACTGTACCCATGGTTCAAAAAACCACTTACCTGCATTTTAGATCCCCATAAGTTAACCCGTACCTGTGGCTCGCAGAACACTAGCTCATCGTATTGCTCAGCCACAACAGGCCGCTTGGTGCTGAGAGGCTGGTTCGGAGCGCTGCCTTCTGGGTACAGCCGAAGGTGATGGGTGCTGGGCGGGGGAGGAAAAGGGGGAGTGGGTAAGGGGGAGAAGGGGAAGGGGGGAGTAGTTGAGAGAAAGGGATGGGAAAGGATGAGGAAAAAGCAGGACAATTTCTCAAAACTGGATGTTGACACCTAAAATGGGCGCGAGGGTTGCTTTTTGAGTCGACTCAAAAGTCAACTTGACACCTAAAATGGGAGCGAGGGTTGCTTTCCGCGTATCAGCACATTCAGAGTGTGTGTGCTGGAAGAAATAACACGTGCAGTGGAGTCTCCTCGGGCCATGTGAGGGTGGGCGGCATGGTGATGAATGACTGTATTTTCCGGCACGCCTACTCACTGTCGGCGTGAAAGACAATGGTCATGGCGATCTCAAACTCGGCCCAGCCAATCTCCGACAGCTGAGATTCTTACAAGTATAATGTTCCTAAGAATGACTTTTGCAACAAGACATTTAGAGCCTGTAAGTAAAGTGGATCAGACGGAGTTGTTACAAACAGAACTGTTACCAAAACCTGGCCCAAGTTAACTCACAGCTCAGCTGGCATTTCAGAAGCATCGGCGTGGAAGACAATGGTCATGGCGATCTCAAACTCGCCCCAGCCACTCTCCGACAGCATGAAGGGCGGCCGCTCCACAATGCGCGTCGGATTGGAGAAGCTCGGGTGCAGCTGAAACACCACCTGGTCATTGGGGTATTTGTAGGGAGAGGATGTGGAGGGTAAAGACAGCAGGAGGGAGGTGTGTTTCGGAAAAACAGCAGAAGGAGAGGGAGGTCGAGGAAGCATGAGTTTACGACATGCGGAAAGAGGGGAAAGGTGTGAATCTCAAACTCGCCCCAGCCGCTCTCCGACAGCATGAAGGGCGGCCGCTCCACTATAAGAGAGGGATTGGAGAAGCTCGGATGCAGCTGAAACACCACCTGGGGTATTGGGGAGAAAAAAGGGTGGGGGAAGAAAAATGCGGATTGGATTGGAAAAAGCTCGGATGCAGCTGAAACACCACCTGGTCATTGGGGTATTGGGAAGAAAAGGCGTGGAAGGTGCTATACTCGGTTAAGAAACTCTCTGGAAGAGGCAGACTGGGTGCATGCACACTGGCCTACCTGGCCCACGGGCGCACCTTCTCCACAGCCCTTTCTGTCACCAGCATACCTTCTTCACCATACTACCAAGGTCGCCATTGTCAGCTGCCCGCACAACCTTCACTCATTCATAGCAATGATTCATATATCTTAATCAACCACCGCCCTCTCTGGCTGGCACCAGCATACCTTCTTCACCACACTACCAAGGTCGCCATTGTCAGCTGCCCGCAAAACCTTCACTCATTCATAGCAGTGATTCATATATCTTAATCAACCCACCGCCCTCTCTGGCTGGCACCAGCATACCTTCTTCACCACACTACCAAGGTCGCCATTGTCAGCTGCCCGCACAACCTTCACTCATTCATAGCAGTGATTCATATATCTTAATCAACCCACCGCCCTCTCTGGCTGGCACCAGCATACCTTCTTCACCACACTACCAAGGTCGCCATTGTCAGCTGCCCGCACATACACTGTCCACTTGTGTGTGGCGTTCCTGGTGATGGGATTGTACGGAGAGGATATCCAGTGGTGGTGATGGTGGTGGAGACAGAGTGGTGAAGAGAGGTTTAATACAGAAGGGGAACTATGCCAAACAAGTGTGAGTCCAGATGAAATATTCTGTGCAAGCTGAACAATCACAAGGTACGACCAGTGAAGTTACTGAGTGATATATCTTGAGAAAGACTTAAAGATAGAACGGTAGGTTGCAACTCACTCATCGGCCTTCTTCCCCAGCCAGAAGGCACAGCTGCCGAACACAATAGGCAGCACCACCTCCACGTCCCGAGCTCTCTACAAGAAGGGACACGCACGAGGGGAAGAAACGAGAGAGAAAACTAGGAATGTGATTGGGAATATGACTTTTGAGTCAGCTCTGGGAAAACAGCGAACATGGAAGAGCACTATTCCAGTGGGGAAAGGCTTAACCAGGGAAGTGTGAGAAGATGGAGGCAAGAAAATACGGAACATAAGGAAAATAATACCTTAACAACATATTGTTGACGCTTATAAGCTTACCCTTTCGTTCTGGTCTGCTTTTTCTCAAACCACCCAGAAGCATAGAATGGATGGAGTAAATATACTGTCCTCTCTTTGCCAACTTATCGACAGGATCACAAAACGGCCATTTTGCGTGTTCCAAACCACACTCACGTCCAGCTACTCTATCCCAACGTCCAGCTACACTATCAGTTCTGCTACGCCAACGTGTTGCAATTCCTTCAGCACACCCGTTTATTGTCACAACTCACACATCGCCCCTTCAGCACACCCGTTAATTGTCACAACTCACACATCGCCCCTTCAGCAGCCCCTTGATCTGCCTTTCCTGTGTGTGTTCGGTTCCAGCCAC